AGGGGGTGTGGGGTATCTCAGTCAAATCCATAATGCAATTGAGGATAATCCTTGTCCCAACTCTGTACCAGTACATCCTTTTAGCAAATATAACACTGAGGATGAACCTGGAAACAGCACAAGTGTTGGGGAGGTCAGATTTTGAGTGCAAGTTTACATTCAGTCCTGTCTTTCCCAATAGGATGAACCGAGCTCTGGAATGGATCCAAATGCTAAACGCCACCTTTGGAAAATCATCAGTGAGGAAGTGCAGAACAAGTGTTCGGTGATACTCACATCCCACAGGTAGGGCTGGGGTGGCTCTGCTCCCATTTTGGGGTTGGCAGGAGGTATGGAGAGGCCCATCCCTCGCAATCCCTGTTGGTCCTTGCACAATTCCAGAGCTGTGACAGGTTTGGGGGTTTGTTGTGGCTGAATGTGGGTGCCCACAGAAACTCACAATCCTTTAGGGAAGAACAGTCATGTTCTCTGATTACTAAAACAGCCATTTTTTTTATACCTTCTCAATGACTTACTGGAGTTTCTGGGTTGGTTTTCCAGCATGGAAGAGTGTGAAGCCCTCTGTACCAGGCTGGCTATCATGGTGAATGGGAGTTTCCAGTGCATTGGCTCTTTGCAGCACATCAAGAGCAGGTCAGTAAAATGGACCTATTTCACTTTTGCTGAACCATGTATGGAGTTACTGACCTACAGCTTTGAGGGCTCAGAACATGAGACCTGTGTTAACAGGGCATCAAAATAATGACATTTTCTGGTTTATGTTTCTTACAGCACCATTGAAATTCTTTGTTAACTAATGCACTTTCTTTTCTCACAACCTTTCTTCCCAGAGACGTGTCCCCCAAAGTAATCAGTTCACTGCTGCAAATGTGAAATGCATATGTGGGTTGAACTTTTATTTTATTAGTTCTAACAATAGCTTGGCTTCTTATTAAGTTTCACTCCAGGTTAACAACCCTGACCCCATTCAAGTTGTACTCCGCCTGGATTAGATTTCCCCAAAGAGGCCATGCAAGAACTCTCAGAGGATTTTCTTTATCTGTTTCTCTTTTCTACACTGTTAATTGTGATTTACTTTTTCCTCTAGATTTGGAAGAGGATTCACTGTGAAGATGCACTTAAATAGCAACACAGTTTGCACTGAGATGCTGACAGAGTTCATGAAGTCACACTTTCCAAACACATGCCTGAAGGTAAGCAGGACAAATGCTTTCTGGAGAGGCCTTCAAAATCCCTTCAAATTAACCAAGAGGATCTTGCAAGATGGACACCTTGTAACGTATGGTGCACATGGACCTGTGCCCTCAGGGTCACACTTGCCACTGCTGTCAGCTACACGGTCCAAGGACTGCACTCCACTTCCTTGGTGGCTTAAATAACATCAGCCAAACAGCTGCAGTGATCCTGTAAGGCAGCTGCCCCAGGGATGGTCCCACAGAAGCCTGGCCTGCATGGAGACCCACTTTAGGTTCAGTGGGTAATGAGATGGTCGGGTACTTCCAGTAACTGAGTAACTGTAGAACCAGATTAACTCAGTCACGAATCCCATCCCTTGTCCCTAACAAAATGGCTCACTTGGAGCTGGAAAACGCTATGGCCACCCTGGAGCTTCCAGCTTTGGGGCTTAGTTATCCTCTCCCAGCCACAGAACCCACAGAAACTCCAAATGGGGAAACACTGGTCAATACCAGAAGATACCCCCTGCCCCTTCATTCTCTCATGGTCCATCAGATCTGTTGGCTCTTTGAAGGGAGCAACCTCTTCATGTTACCCCATCATTCCTGTTCCCACAGGATCGGCATTTCAACATGGTGGAGTACCACGTTCCAGTCTCTGCAGGAGGCGTAGCAAATATATTTGATCTCCTGGAAGGCAGCAAAGCAGCCTTCAATATCAGGCACTTCTCTGTGAGCCAGACAACGTTAGAGGAGGTAAGGAATTAAAATGTGTGACCATCCATTTAAAACTGCCAACAGGGGAGCAGACTGATGGTTACACATAATGGACTGCTGCACACAATAGACTACATTTTGAAAGGGATTTCCATCTATATTCCTCCTGAGGGTACTTTATCAGTACTACTGCCTCCAGGTACCTGTGCTGGCGCGAGGAAAATGCACACGGAAAGCTGCCCGTAGCATAAAGGATCTGTTCTTCTCTCTATCACTGCTGATTTCAGCAGCCTCGTGGGTTTGGATGAAGGGCAGGATTATGAATCACTCCCGAGTCCAGGGCTAGGCTTGCCACCAGTCCTGGAAATTTGCTTAGTTTCACTCTTTGGTTTGTAAGTTAATTTAGCATTACTCCAGACTTAACTTCGTGGTTAAGTCCTTTCCATTTTCCCTTGGAAGAACATTCCTGCTGGCACCAAAGTCTTGTAGGAAGCACATCAGCTGTAGGGATGCCACAAGGACTACCCTGTTGAGCATCAGCACCTGAAATACTAGGTTTGTCTCAGAGAGAGGAGCAGCCCTGTAGTCCTACAGACTGTGGGACAGTGATCTGGGGGAAGTTCCCCAGGTTGGTGTAATAGGGGGCAGTGGCTGCAAGAGAAATGGGCGGACAAAATGCAGGAAGCCCCAAGTTTTGTGGGATGGCAGCTTGGATTTGTGAATATGCAAATGTGATTGCAGGCAGTGTTCTAGTAAGGATACTTAGTGTATGCATTGGATACTGTTCAAAGGAAGACTGTAGGAGCGATTGTAGACACCCATCTCTGCACTCTGCAGTTGTGTGTGCACAGACAGATGGGTTTATAAAGCAATGATGGGACTGTGTTACTGTGTGATCGAAAGGAGCCTCCACTCGGGTATTACCTCGCTGGCACTGCTGGAACCTGAGCTGCAGGACAATTAGGCTTCGTGCAGGAATGTCTGCCTTTGCATCCTGGGTGTCGATTCAGCAGTACAGGAATGTGCATCCATTTATTTACATTAGCCCATGGAAGACCAACATTTGCAATTCTCAAATCCAGCGTGAAGCACGCTCTCCAGGCTCACAGTCAAATGAACAGCCAATCCTTTTTCATATTCATTCATATTATAAATTATTTATGCTGTCACGGACTGAGTGTTTTCCTTTGAAATTCTAGGTTTTCATCAACTTTGCTAAAGATCAAGAGGATCCTGATGGTGCAGACACGGGTCCTGATGTGACAGTGGACAGCTCAGACACAAGTAGCCAAGCGAGCACCATAAGCTCCATCTATTGAGGGGACCCAACCACACAGGATCATAGAACCTGGGAAAAGACCTGGCAGCCCCTCAGGGTTCTTCCAACCCTGTTTTCTGTGATTCTGGGATGGTGGGGATGAAACAGTCCCATTTTCTTAAAGTACTTTCTTTTTTTTATGCACTTAATTTGTAACTAGGAACATGGTAGGCATTTGAGTCTGGCACTTGGTTACAAATCAGACTGGTCTTTCCACAGGTTCTTTTCCCCCCAGTTCTTGTTTTGTGATCACTGTAATGCCTGTGAGGACTTAGATGGCATCACCCGCTGCTTGTGGCTGTTTGCTTACAGCAGAAATGGCTGTGATGGAGCAGAGGAGCTGTTGGCAGTGCAGGGTGTTTGACCAAAGAGCAGCCCCAGGCTGCAGAGGAAAGCCCACACTCCACTCCTTGCTCAGCAACAGACTTCCAGGGTGACCATGCCAAAGTCCCTCAGGTTTGACAGGTTCCCTGCTGGTGAGAAGGGGCTCGTGGCCTTGCCCTGCCTGCCAGGGGAGCTGTGAGGACACAGGTGTTGTGTACTGAGAGCTGCAAATGCCATTGGTGGGGGCCATCTTTGGTAATGACATAGAGCTTATCTGTATGTGTGGGTTACGTCAGCACAAATACAGTTATTTTAAAAGTTAGTGCTTCCAGTGGTTTTGGTTTGTTCCCGTAGTTTATTCCAGCTCTATGTAACTCCTCAAGTAACTCCTCTGGTGCCAGGCAGTTCCTAGCTCTTGGTACCCAGTGGAAGATCATTCCCCCACGAGCCCTTTTCTCCTCTGGGCTGGTGTTCAGGGGTGCTCTGCCACAGCTGAGGAATGGCACAGGGCAGGTGTGTTGGAATCCTCTGACACGAAGGAGTTTGCTTTCCAAGACTGTGTTTCCCTGAGTACATTAAAGGCAGCAATCACTTCCCTTGCTCAGAAAACCTCCATCTCCAAGCAGCTCTGCCTCTCTGTGTCCTCTCCAGTGACCTTCCTCCTCAACCCCACGTGGTGGCTGCCCCTATGACTCCAGAGCTGTGTTTTCCCACATAATAAGGCATCATTAGCTTCTGCTTCAAAGGCTCTGCCTGCTGGCTTTCAATGAGTCCTCTGCCTCCCTATGAGCAGCAGCCCCCAGCAGCTGAGTTCAGCACACCAGCACACACATCCTGCTTCCTCCCCCACAGAATCACTAATAGATAGAGTAGTTGAATATGATTCTTTATTATGTGTATCAGCATAAGGCCTCAAAGACTCGGGTTTGGGTCAGGGCATTGGTGTACGTGGTGCTATTCAGGCACATAATGAACTTAAACTCTGAGCTCAATAAACTTGCTGTTGCTCATGAAAGAGATTGCAGATAAAACCTTACCTTGTGAGACCGGGGGTGGCCCATACAACTTACCTGGGTTCACCCACACAATTCCAGCCAGGTGGTTTCTTTTTCCGTTTTTTTTTTCCCCCCGAAACTAATTTGAGCCAAAGGAACCTTTGATGAAAGCTGCAATGGCAGCTTTCTCATTCTAATCGTCAGAGCAGTTTTAGTTCAGCTCCTACTGATGCCTTTTGCAGGAACAGGTACTTTCAGTATCAAGGGGTTCAAGATTTTACAGTGGGATACTGATGTTCAGGGTTTAGTTGCTGCAAGGAGGTCATGAATTCTCCTTGGTCTTGGTATAAACTTCTTACTGATAGCAGGAGGAGTTTTATTATGGATTGAAGGTATTGTCAAGCCTTGAATTATGCCTCAACCTGCTGACTGTAATTAAAACTGGGATTCAGCTTCTTTCCAGAATGCATTTGACACCTGCAGTTTATAAGTAACTGAAAAAGCTGCCCAGACATCCATTGTAGCTTCTATTATTATGTCTCCAGCTCTGCAAAGGCTCTTTTTTCTCATTTTCATTGCATATCTTACACAGATCACAGTATAAAATTAAGCTTTTCCCTAATGGAGGGCTTGTGCTCCCTGCAAAGGACTCGGAGCATGAATGCCAATGATTTAAATGCAGCCTTGTAATACCAATCAGAGTATTATTTTATTATGTCGATGGCTTTGCAACTGCCAGTGAAAGATGGATCTTCAGACTCTGTCCAGATGTACTTTACATGTAATTGAGGGAGACTGATACAAAGCTATTCTTTTGTCCCTTTAGAGCCTACTAATCAAACAAAAAAAAAAAAAGGGAAGTGATTCATTGGAATACTTCAGCAAGTTGCAATTTAATTGAGTAAAATAGTTTTGAGGAGGGAAAAAAAAGCAAAAAGCATCCTTTGAATTTCCACCCAATTCTGGCATTAATAGAAACATCTGCTCCGTGTGAAATGTGTCAGGGCCATGATATACACTCCCTGTTCTCACTTGCAGGTAGAAATAAACCATCTGCTGTTGCAATCAAGTCTGTAGGTATTGGTCCAAACAAGCCCGAGTTTACATCCTGGAGGGAATTTAACTGAGGCCCATGGAGAAGCACTTACAACTGTTTAGGGGGGTTGAAGCATCTGGCAAGGTGGTTGTATATCACGTCACCAGGGGCTGAATTACCTTTTGTGCCACATTACAAACATCCCTGTTCCCTGCAGAGCCTCAGATTCATCCTGTCCCTTTCAGGTGTGGGACATGCTCCAGCCTCAATTCCGAGGCAAAACACATGCAAGCTGATACTATCCTGCCTCTGCACACCAGCTGCAGGCTTCTCATCACCTCTTGTCTCCCTGAGCAGGGCCCGTTGTGGTTCCAGGGGTGGCCAGGAATGCAGAGCCTGGACTAAAAGGCAGCTGCTGAGGATGTGTCTGAGGGGTTGTCAGCAGGCTGTGCACGGCCTGGGAAGGACGGGGTCACTCCCCTGTCTTTAGCACTCACCGTCATCTTCCCCTGTGGGTGTCACGGCAGGTGCCTTGTCAGTCCTCTCTGGATCCCCCCAGAAATTTTTGCTTTACATAACTCTGCTTTCCAAAAAACCCAAGCAGCCAACGAGCTCCCTCCTCCCTCTGGCCTGGACAGGGAGGTAAGACTGCTGAACACACTGACCCAGCAGTGCTCTGTGTACCACGGCACGGCTCCTCTCCAGGAGCTGCAGTCCGGGGGGAAAACAAGCTTTTCGTCTCACTCCTTTGATGCAATTTCACCTCAGCCACTCTCATAACCCTTGTTAGAGGCAGCAGTGCTGGGGCAAGCCCTGCCAGAGCGGTCACACAGCCCCCGTGTGTTAAATGGAACGGCACGGGCCTCAACCGAGCTTCATTTAGAACTGCTCTGACACGTTACAGACACGAGGTGTAGGCAGTGCAGGTGCTGAACAGGGTCAGGGAGTCAAGGAGGAATTTCAGAACTGGTTGTGTGCATTGTGAGGCTGATTGAAGTCAGTTTTGTAATTGGAGCTGTGGACTTGGAGACAACGACTCAAATCTCCATCCTGGCTCTCCTTCATTTACGGCTTTGTGCTGTTGATGAGAGCAGGTGCTTCTACAGCTTGATCCTTGCTTAGCTTTGGTCTCTATGCCAGTGACCACCGAGGGCTGACTTCAAAGGGTCAGAGAGGGCCTGGCAGGGCCGAGGAAAGCTGTCCAGAAGGGCCAATGTTAAGCAAAATACTGTAAATATAAATTCAGGGTCTAATGGGATTTTTTTTTTTGTCCTTTCATGAGAGCTGCAGGAGTGGTTTTGTTACTGGGTCCTTTCAGAAAACATGTTTACAAACAAAAACTCAGTGGCTAGTAAAGCACAGGAGCTGGTGGTGCCCACAGACCCGCTGCCTCTGTGGAGTCACTGCTCGGATCCAGAATTTGCAGAATCCAAGCTCGTAATAGGCTCAGGATGTGCCCCAGCCTGTTGTAGGAGCTTTGACTTCCTTCCACTGCTGCAGCTTCACTGAATCTGCTATGAGACTTTCTAGCTTTTTACAAGCCAAGAAAAATGTATGCCTCTGCACTTAATAGGGGAAGGGTTATTTTGTGAGCTGCTGGAGGAAGAAAAATGGGTTTTGGATGGCAACAGCACATAACATGATTTTACTCTCTTTTTTTTTCAGACAACAGCTGTGATCTTGCATAGCTATAACAAAGTATCAGCAGCATATTAAAAGAGAGCACAACAGAGAAAAGAAGCAGTGGGGAATGACAAAACAAAAATTGAATTCACTAAGATTATTATTCCATGACAGTATTTAAATAAAAAAAACCCACTCTAATTAATTTAGTTGTTCAGGGAGAGGGTGGAAAGAAGGAAGATGGCACTAAAATAGTAAGAACAACATTAGTAAGGGGCACAGCCAGCGTGTGCTGTTGGCTCTGTTCGTCCCACCACTTGCATCCATGGTGCTGGTAATGAGGGAGGACGATCAGCCCCACGGTGCTGGGGAGCAGCAGAGGGAGTGCAGCCAATTTTGGGCCAGACCAGGCTCCTCAAAACATCTGTGGCAGGGGGGAAGCTGCACAAAACCACCCCAAGGGGTATCAGTATTTTGGGACCGGAGCCTGACCCACACCATGTTACAATCCTGCAGCACCCGCACGCTGGCACGTGCCAAAATGGGAGAGTTACAGCGGCCACATGGAGCTCAGGATGGAGGAAACAGATACTTGTGCTTGCAACCCACGGAGCAACGCTTGAAACCAGGCACTGCTCCCCAGTGCTTGGTTCCTGGGCATGCAGCCCCCAGTTCAGTGCTGATTGCTGCTGGAAGACACCGCTGGAAACAGGCCATTGCCAGGGAGAGCAGTGGTGAGGGCCCCGTGCTGGGAGGCGAGAGCAGGAAATGGCAGTGCTCCCACAAGCTGGGAGGCTCAAAGCAACAATCCCACCCTCTACCCCAGCCTCCAGATTAAGCAGCAAGTCTTTCAGTAGATCAGCATGTTGGGTGGAAATGAAGTGTATCTTAGGAAGAGCTCAGGTCTTCACTAACTCCAAAGAAAGAAACAGGAAGGGCATGACAGAATTTATGGTAACACACATGAGATAAAATCCAAGTGAAGACACCGTTTTCATCGAGACTCTTGCTTCCCTTAGCAGGTCAGGGTGAGCTCCCAGCCCTCTCCTCTCTGTGTCCCAGCTGCCAGCTGAAGGGGTTTTACCCAGCCCTCTGCCTCAGTGTGTGCTGCTGTTTCACAGCCAGAGACAAATGGAGGCACATCCAGTGTGTGACAGGGAGGACGAAGCGGGATGATCTGCCTCTCCATAACCAGACCCAGCTGGATTATTCCTGTGCAAGACAGCAATGAATTTAAGTTAAAATTATACCAACCAGATTGAAATGCAATTAAAGGAGTTCCCTTAGGGTTGCACATCCAATTAGTGGAGCACCTTTAATTACACCAGTGCAGACACGTGCCGAGAGGACCACCAGCACGGAGATGAGGCCTGCCTGGTGACCCACATCCATGGGGGCTCCAGAGGAGTTATGCCTGGGTTTCCACCAACACGGGTGACCTGCTCCCCCACTGGGGAAAAGCCCCTGGGCTGGCCCAGCCTGGACTAGGAGCAAGGCAGAGGAGAAATACAGAAACCACTTTCAGCTTTGTAAGAGCAATTGTCTCTAGCACACAGTTTCTGGAAAGCAATTAATATCCAGGTGCTTCTAAAAGGTAAGAGTTCTTCCCAGTTTTTTGTACATGAGGTTTCCCTCTTGCAGTGTCTGAAAATACCCTGCTCTGAGGAACTGTGGAAGCTGAAGCATCAGAGTTGACTTTGATAAGAAAACTCATTAAAACACTAACAGTGCAAATATTAAGAATTGCCAGAAACACCAAAGCACTTCTAGGTGTCCCTCAGCCATCTCCAGGGAGTTTTGTGAGGTAGAAGAACTAAAAATACCTTCCCACCTGTAGCCTTGAGCATAACAGCACCTCCAAAGCAGCCAGTGGGTGTGACTCAGGAGTGTGGTCCTCGTTAGGAGCATTAGTCCCTGTCAAAGCCTACAGTCTGGCTGCTCTGAATTATTCCTGTTTAAAATCCTGTCAAAGAGAGAAAATAAAGCTGAAGGAGACTCTCCTTTGCCCATTGTAGCACCAAGCCTGAGGGCTGGTGTGTGTCAATAATCCCTGGGACCCAATTTTAATGCAAAAAATCATGTCACCTTGCACCAGATGGTGCCCTCAGGTCAGTACTGACAGGGGTACAGGAGCAGGTGCTCCACACATCTTCACATGCTCCTCCTCAAGTGTTCCTTTAAGCACCCTCAAAAGTTGAGACCGTAGGCTTAGTGGGATTAACAATGATAATCATTCCCATCCATCACTGCAAAGCAGGCTGTGGAGCTGCTGAATCCGTTCTGCTCCAGGAACTCGGGAAATCGACGCCGTACCTGAGCAGCCAGGCAGGGGCAGCTCCAGGCTTGCTGTAAAGAGGAACAGAGCGATTGCTCAGGCTCACTTCCTTATTCATTTTTTTTATGAGCCCTCAGAGCCTCCCTAGGAATTATCAAAGCCTCTCCAAGGAGGGCAGAGCCGCAAAGGGAGCGTTTATTCACGGGCTGGTGCTTCACGCTGCGATAACCCTCTGTGTGAACAAACTGGAGTGGCTGTACGGGTCTCCTCCCTCACGTGGGCAGTGAGGCCTCTCCTTTAACCTGCCTTCTGCACCTTCAGCATTTGACCACCCTCACTACAGACTCATAAGTGGCTTTTTTCCCCTATAATCAGCTCTTTGCCATGCATCATTGATTGGCAGCAAAGGCAAAGCTTGTATGTTCGTTACAAACTACCCTGATGCTCTGTCTGAGGGAGCCTCCTGCTCCCCAGGGTTGCATTACAAACTGGGATGTGTGAAATCGAGCAGGATTAGGGAATACCACGACATTTAAGCAATGGGGACCTTCACTGGGAGGATTTGGGCTGAAAACCAGGCAGGGTCCAAGACTGTGCAACCTCCAAAGGTCCTTAATGTGCCAGAGCTGGGCCCCCAGATACTTGCAGGGACAGAGATGTTGGAGAAGGCTCAGCTGTGGCCAGCTGGAGGAAGAATGGGATGGTTTGCTCCATGCCTGCTGCCCTGCTTTTCCTGACAATGGAGGCAGCAGAGCCAAGGCATGCAGTTTCACATCAAGTTCATATTGCAATCATTCCAGAAATCCCACGTGCCAGAATGACATAATTCTGCCACCACACAGAAGAATGTAATTATTGGGTGTCAGTGGGGCTTCAGACCTGACTTGTGAGAGCAAGAAATCTTCACAGCTCCCTTGGAGAGTCTAGATGTTATAGGGGTTATGTTTCCGCTGTGAATATCCTACAGGGGTGATTTCAAGGCTTGAAACCAGCTCACACGTGACACTAATACAGTGTCCCTCTGAACAATATAGCACCCCTTCTCCTGCCAAGGTAAATGGGAGAGGCTAAGTTTCTTTATTACTCATCAGCCTGATAAATCAAAGCTACTGTGCTGTACTTCCCTCCCACCCCCTCTGGCGTCTCTGAGCTCTGGCTGAAGCAGAAATCACGGGATGAGCTCGCTTGGGCTATGTAAGGGAGCACACCAGCCCAGGTGGTTATACGAGTTCTTGAAATCACCTTAGGAAATGGGAAGCTGTTTTTCCATCCACCTAGGCTGTGACATTCAGAGGTGCTCAGCACGCATCTGATGAAAACAGGAGGGTCTGTGCCACTGGGCTTTGCCATCCCCATGGGCCTGTTTGCAGAATGGGGCAGGAAAAAGGAGCCTGTTGGGCTTGGGCAGCTCAAGGCTGCATGGTCCCTGCAGCAGGATGGGGCAGCGTGGAGAGCTGCTGGTATCACAAAGCATCCCACTTCACTTGGAGGGATTATAGGGAAATCAGAGCACAAACACAGGGGTTGGTGCTTATACCATGGTACGTTGGAGTGACAGAGCCTGATAACTTGGAGGGGAGGCTGTGATGGCATCGGCAGCCACCAGTTCCAGCACCCTTCCCTGCAGAGGCTGGAGCAGCCAGCTCTGCCCCTGGCCAAAGGGAAACCACCCCGTAGCTGTCAGGTCAGAATGGTGTTTCTTTGGCAGTTTATAGCAATCCTATTTGTGGATTAAAACACAGCCGTCAAGGCAGCTCGTGTGGGATTTACGACATGGCCTCAAAATGCAGAAGAAAAGGAAAGCTGAACTCTCCTTTGATGTTTGCAAGTGTAACCTGCAGACCTGAGCTGAACACACTGTAAATAAGGATCATTAATCATCAGCTAAGCGGCACACGGTTGCTGTTATTTATTATAACAACATAAATCACCCGGAGCTGCTATCATGTAAATTTGGATTTAGTATGGATTAGTATGGAGAGTATCCTTACCTATTTACAACATACATACCTTTACTTGTAAACACATAGAGATGTGCCATGGTTTTTGTTCCTTAAGCTTCCTCCAGTTAGTAAGCAAGTCAGGAAAACGCTCTGGGAGCTCCGCACGTGAGAGATTTCCAAAGGTTCAGGTCAAGCTGCAGCCCAGAAAAATCTGTCTTGTGATGACACAGTGAGTTGGCACTGAGGGGAGAAGTAAGACCAGGAGCTCTGGGACATGTTTCAGAGGGGCAGCTCTGTGCACCACCCCCAGCCCTTCCTCTGCAGGGCCCTTCCCAGAAACTGCCCTGCATCCATGTATCACTGCAGTAACCTCACAGACTTCCTCACTTCTTTTATTTGCAGCTCAGCTCTGGCTTTCACTTTTAAGAAGCACGAGGCATGGGTTTTGTGGGATGCTGGAGCCCTCTGCTCCTGCCTTTGGAAGGAAGACTTAGCAGGGAAGGAGCATTTTAATTTATATTAAGGGAGCATTAACCACACTTTTCATATTCTCCAGGAATGCCAGCTGTACTCCTTGCCGATGTATTAATTTGAATTTGTTGAAGCTAAAAGGTGGGGCTGACATCCTCATGCACCACAGCAAGACCAGTGGAGGCACCAGTATGACCATACCAGGTGTTTTGGGTGTGGAGCTCATGTCAGAGCTGGAGATGTGGCCCCATCCCTCTCCACAGATCATTTCTAAGTGTGGTGACAACAGAACTTCACCCCACAGGGATCCTCATCTCGGTGCTCAGGCACAGCAGCTGTCTCTGCCCTCGAGCACTCAGGTGTAGTTAGGGGGTCCATTCTACCCCCCAAAAGGACTTGAATTCTTTAAAATGAGGCAGGTTTGCTGTTAAGAAGTCACAGCAAATTTCTCCCCACAGTCCTGGGAATCTGTTTTATCCTGATGAAGCTGGAGGTGCTGAGCCTTGACTCAGGATGCAGAGATCCCTGACCGACCCCATGGAGGTCACCAGTGCTGCTTTAGCTGGAGATTTGTCCTGATTAAGAAAGAGACCTTGATATCTGGGAAACAGAGATCAGAACAATCAGGGGTTTGCATTTTTAAAATGTAACTGCAAGGGAAATAAAAAGAATGTTATTTTTTGGGCCGGCCCAAAGATTTCCCACAGGCTTGAAGCTGCAGTGATACATTTAACAACAGGCTCATAAGTCCCAGGTAAAGAACAAAAGCAATGATGCACCTGCATCCTGACTCCACTGGGTCCAAAAGTGCAAGTAATTGCCTTTAATTGGCTCTGTTGTTTTTAACCTGTTTTGTGTGTGCCAGATGAACAGACATCAAACCAGGGAGAATTTCTCTAAGTGTTGAGCCAGAGCTGAGGTTTGCATAAATTAAAATTGGGTTAATTATAATAACTCTAGTACAATAGGGATAGTGTAATAAGACTAATTAGAATGGGGCTAATATGAGGGTTCAAGCCACAGCAGCCACTGTACAAAACACTCACCCAGGTTCTTCAGAGGTTTCCCTGGACTTGTATCCCACTCGACTCAGGGGCAATCCAACATCTAAAAGCCTCTGCAGAGCTCTGACTGCGTTTTCCTGAGCATCCACGCTCGCCTCGCACCGACCATATGTCTGTCTCTGTCTGCTAGCAGATTGCACCAAATATTTTCCTTTTCTACCGTGGCTGAGCAAACAAACACCATCTGCGGGGCTCCTCGAGGGAAATCCCGTCCCCTCTGTGCCTGCGGGGAGGCAGCCGCGCGTGTCCGTGGGGCTGACGCTTCTGCACCCGGACCCTGGGACAGGAACCTCTCCCTGCTCCTCAGCTCTGCCCATCCGCCGAGCTGAGCTGAGACCTGACAGCTGGCATACATTTTAATTCAGGTTTTATTACAGGAAGGCTGAGCCCTGTCAGAGCAGACTGCCTAGCGATGACCCAGGCTCGTGGGGCTGCCTTGGGGCAGTGGGAGATGGAAAAGGGTGAGAAGGCTTTTTTTTGGTTGGCTCTGCCTTGGATGTATCCATGCTGCCGGGGGCTTTGGGCATTTTCCAGCCATGCTCAAATCCCTGGCCCAGGCCTGATTTTTAGTCTGCCTTGGCATGCTTAGGATGAGAGGTCTGGGAGGGCAGCTGATGGGGGATGGAAATTATTCCTTGTTCAAGCCTTTATTCCTTTGGTAGGTAAATCTCCTGGGTGGCACTGCTTGATATGGAGGGTCTGTGCCATCCATGCATGCAGCCCAGCACTGGTGCAGGGAAGCACCAGCAGCTGCTGAAGCAAAGGTGTGAATGTGGTCCCCAGCTGGGCACAGTTTTTTTTTCCTGCTTTGCTGTTCTCTGTTATTTGCCTTTCTGCAGGAAACCCCTTTTCTGGTAAAATCAGAAGGGTAGTCTCAATTTTGTAAAATCCTCTGCAGTTTTGACCCATGTGGCCATTCTCAGAGGTCCCCTGCCGGGTGATGGGCCCAGCAGGTGCAGGTGTAAATTACCTGTCACCTCGGCTGCTTTTCCACTCGCGCTTCTGCAGAGCTGGGTCCAGAGCTTGTACTCTGACCAAATCTTTTGTACAAGTGCCCTTTGGATTTAGCAATTCGCACGGTGAAAGCAGAACCAATGAACCACAGGCTTCTCTGCCGCTGCTTTTAATTAAAAATGCCATGTCTAACACCAGCAGATGTTCCTGCTACTGAGGCTCAACGAATTATTTAATGCTATGTAATGCAATGCTGACTGCGCTGCTTAGTCTGAAAGTGTAACAGACTTTTTTATTATTATTATTATTTCCTTTTGAGGATCAAATCCCTCAATATTTGAAATCCTAAAACTTGCTAGTCTAATGGCTCTAGCCAATTACTGCACCAAATGGTCTCAGCAGCGCCGTGTCTTTCAAGTCAGAGCTGCAGCCCATGATGCCTCTGCGACCACGGTGAGCTCTCAGGGCCTTGGATGCACAGCAAAATTGGCCTCAGAGGGGCGGCACTAGTAGCAAACTAAGCCTGTTAAAGGCTTTGATTCAGACATTTGGGGAAAGAGGGAATTCAAAGCATCAGGCTGTTCCTCTTCCCATTTTTTTTCCAGTCTTCTGATGAAGCGGATCCATTCTGTCACTTGTGGTGGCCGCTCAGCATGTCAGAGCTGAGCACCCTTTCCTGGTGGGGTAGTCCCAGGATGTGCTCTGCATTCAGGTGGATGGGAGGAGAGGGACCCCCTCTTCCCAGGTGCTTTGGCTCTTTTAATCCCCAGGAAACCGGCTGACTTGTGAGACTCGATGGAACCGCCTCCCTCTGCTCTCGCTCCTTCCCATTACATGATGAATCACGTAATAATTGTATATTTGTTGAAAAAACAGCTGGAGAACTTCGCTAAATGAATAAAATATCAGGTACCGGTGTATTTACATAAAAAGGTCTTTACCAGATGGGCAGCACCTTGAAATGAAGCACGAGGTAGACGAGGATGTTTTACCTTCCCCGTCAGCCGCCGAGCCCAGCCCATCCTTCAGCGCGGGTTTTGCTGTGAAGCTCCGCATTGTTTGGAAATCACATTAACAGTTTAGCACGGCGGAGATGATCGTTGCCTCAGCGGGGCACGGAGCTGATTCATGCACGTACCCAACGCCGCTGTCTCACTATATCACACCGCTGCCGAAACCGCTTTACTGGCTTTCTGTCATGCAACAAATTTATTTTAAAGTGTGTGGGCCTTATACTGCCTGGAATGGCTTTAGTTGTACTTTAAATACTGCATAAACCAAATTTAGAGATGTATTTCTTGCTTCCCTCTGTTCCCTGCATCATTTTTTTCGCTCCTGACTGTCCAATTGGTAGCAGTAATTCACTGCAGAGGAAGACGTTTCTTAGATTTCCGAGAGCGCCAACTCCTTAACCTTTATGAAATTAAGGAGAATGAATCACTCGTGACTTTTACATCTTTCTCGAACACAAGTATTTGTTAGCTTCAGGCTGCCCAGGGCAGTGCTTTGGCTCAGTTTAACTTAGTTGTAAATGTTTGTAAATTCCCACATAATGTCTCAGCACAATGGAGACTGTGCGTGCACACGTGGATTTATTGGGAGAGACACTAAACATATTTCAGCTGGAGGGAAGGAAGATGAGGCACTTATCTGGTTTACTGTCCTATACAGTATATATTGGCATCTCATATTTTGTGAACATAAATGCCAGGTTGACTCAAGAGATCTGTGGATCAAGTGTTGTTTGTAACCTGCTCTGAATGCTTCAAATTGCATTAAAGTTTCATCTCTGCAGCGAGGCCTTTTGCCATCTCTCAGTATCCCCAGTGCCCTAGGAGATGCTGGGAGCTGGGATTTTGGAGCACAGGATGAGCACACAACAGCCAAGTAAGAGGGAGTAGTAGGATGTAAAGGTTGCATCTGGTAACTTTATTTTTAAGGGAAAAATTACTCATTTAGCTTATTTTGTGAGTTTATCCTGGTTTTGTCAATATGAGGGAGCAGGTTCCTGTCCCAGTTTCATCCCTGCAGCCCAAGGAAAGGAGTGAGGGTGCCCTGTCCAGCTGTGCCCCTTGCTGTCATCCCTCTCCTGCATCCCGGTGTTTTGGTGCATGCACATAGGGTGGGAAGAGGGCCACTCCCCCACCTTGCAGGGCTTGGGGACAAGCTCCCCTTTGGGCAGAGCAGGCCCAGGGCATGTCTGCCTGCCCCTTTCCCTCCTCCAGGAGAGTCAAGGATGGTGCTGTGCTCTGTAGCAGCTCACTGCAGTCAGATCCTGCCAGAAACAGATCTGGGAGCATCTGGCAGCTACAAGTGTCTCTCACAAGGTGTGATTTTCCTTTGGTTTTGTTGTACTTCCACGCTCGCCTCGGCGGCTGTTGTTCCTTTCCACAGAGCCGCTTCCCTCGGCGGCAGAGATCCCGCCGGTCCGCACGGCCGGGGATGACGGGCCGTTAGCAAGGGGGACACTGCGCCGTGCTATTAACGCAGCGGGGGGGTCCCTGAGCACCAGAAAACAACAGGCTATTACAGAGACACAGCCACACTTTTCACAGCTGGATCCAAGCGCACTGATGCAGCTCCCGTGCTGTCGACGACAACAAACAGCCCTCCTCTGCGTGCCAGGGAAACGAGACTTGTGAGGATGGGGATGCCTGCATCCATCCCTCTCCGGCTCGGATTCTGCAAGGACAGTATCACTGCAAGGGACAGGTCGTTGTTTAGGATTCTCCACGGTTTCCCTTCTCATGGATAAGGACTGGGAGTTATCACGGATGCAGAGAAAGCCGAGACAGTGTTTTCTGGGGTCAAGCAGGTTAGGAGACACGATGACACTGATAATAAAGGCTGAACGTGCCATCATTCAAATCAGCGTGACGATGCTTCACCCTGTCAAGTGTCAGCTTGCCCCAGATGACAAATGTTCTCAGATCAATGGAGCTGAGAGATTTCACAATTCTGCATCCTGCGTAGTGCTCATCTCCTTGCACCTCTGGCTAATATTAGTAACAAAGATTTACCCTTCTCTAAATAAAGCAAAAAAATTAATAAAAATCCCAATTCAAACCATTCCCAGTGTTCAGGAGCCACAGAGGGAACAAACTACCAAAGCAGAGGAGTGTGACACCCGAAAACTGGAGAACCTCCTTCTTGGAAGACATTAATAGTTTATTAAGAAATACTTTCAGCCCTGATTTAACACTCATTTAAGTAGAAGTCCTTCTCTCTAGATAAGGTAAATCTGGGACGCTGCTCTGACGGTTGTTTTCTACAACTGTCACCAACCAAATTTTGTGGCTCCACACCACCACATCCTTTTATGATGAAGTTCCCTCAAAGAATAACTTGCTCGCTTTAATCATGTTTTCTCTGAGATTTATAGCTTGATGCTTATTCACTGACGGAGCTTCTCCACGTGAAATGTCACTAAGCCCGTTATAAATCGCTCCTGGCATTCCTGCTCTATCTTTTACTTGGCCAGGAGTATTCCTACCTGAAAGTGATAAATTCCTGCTATAACTGCTTTATGTGCTCCAGTAATTACGCTGTAGAGGGATGGCAGGGGCTGCGTGTGTGGAGGTACCGCCTAAAAAACAGAAACCTGTAAAAAGTGGGAGATTGGGCTGAACCCTGAGGTGCTGCAGGAAACACAGGCTGAGGGAAAAACCACTCCGGCAACCCGAAGCAACAGTGACTGGTGAGTTATTTCTGTTAGACTGAAGCAGGGGAATGGGCAGAAGAGAGGGAAGAAAATGAATTTTTTAAATTCAAGGCGGAAAGGTGTCGGCACAGGGGAAGGCGCCCTGCCTGGTCTGGGTGCCAGGCATGAGGGGTGGATGCCCTCAGCCCCAGTATGCTGTGCCCACCCACCTGTCTAAGGCCTCCTTTGGGTAGGGGATATTTATAGTGTGTTAGATGTGTTATAGATACACGAACACTGGAAAGACATATGGTATTTGATTGATTTGGGTGCTATTGTGGTATCTAGATGGGCCAAGACCAACGGCATGAGGTTCAACAGGATTCAATGCCAAGTCCAATAGTTTGGCCACAACAACCCCCTGCAGTGCTACAGCTGGGGGAAGGGGGGCTGGAAAGCAGCCCAAAGGCAAAGGATCTGGGGGTGCTGGTCAACAGCAGCCAAATATAAGCCAGTGTATGCCCAGGTGGTCAAGAAAGCCAATGGCATCTGGCTTGTAGCGTGGCCAGCAGGACCAGGGCAGTGACTGTCCCCCTGTGCTGGGCACTGCCGAGGCCACACCTCGAGTGCTGTGTTCAGTTCTGAGCCCCTCCGTTCAGGAAGGACATAGAGGGGCTGGAGCGTGTCCAGAGAAGGGCAATGGAGCTGGGGAAGGGTCTGGAGCACATGTCCTGTGAAGAGCAGCTGAGGGAGCTGGGGGGGCTCAGCCTGGAGAAAAGGAGGCTCAGGGGGGACCTTCTCGCTCTCTGCATCTCCCTGACAGGAGGGGGGAGCCGGGGGGAGTTCGGGCTCTGCTCCCAGGGAACAAGGGACAGAGGGGAAATGGACTGGAGCTGTTCAGGCCGCGGAGGTTCAGCCTGGACATCAGGAAGCATTTCTCCACAGAAAAGATTAGACATTGGAATGGGCTGCCCAGGCAAGTGGTGGACTCACCATCCCTGGAGGTATTTAAGGAAATGCCGGATGTGGCACTCAGTGCCACGGTCTAGTTGCCATGGTGGTGTCGGGTCACAGGTTGGACTCATATGATCTCAGAGGTCTTTTCCAAGCTAACCGACCGTCACTCCCTGACCGCATCCCGGGTTTCCCCCACCCCGCCCTTTCCCTCCCCTCAGGGCGGCCCCGCCCCGCTCGCGGAGCGCGGGAAGCGCCGGGGGCGGTGAGCGCGCGCGTGGCTCCCGCGCCTGCGCGGTGGCGGCGGGCGGGGAATTTAGAGCGGCGGCGGGAAGCGCGGTGGGAAGGGAAGGGCTGGGAGCAGGAGAGCGATGAGGGAGGCGCTGCGCGGCCGCTCGGGCAACCAGCCGGCCCCGGACGGCCACCTCCGCACTGTCGACCCCCCCATGGCGTCGCCCGGGCAGCCCTGGTCCCTCACCCGCGCCGCGCTGGGGCGGCTGGAGAGGGCGCTGAGCTGCTCCCGCTGGTAATGGGCGACCCCCTTTCCCTTCTCCTCCTTCCCCCGCGGTTCTTGCCGTGAGGCCGCGCGTGTTAAAAGTGCCGTGTTTCTCCCTCCTGTGCCCACAGCGCCGGCGTCCTGCAGCAGCCCGTGTCCCTGGGGCAGTGCGAGCACGTCTTCTGCCTGTAAGTAGCGGGGCCCGCCCCGCCGTGCTGTGGGCACGGGGCGGGGAGGTGGCACCGGCGGGGCTTCCTGGCCCTTTCGGGGGGCTGAGGGGGAGAGGAAGGCGGGAGCTGCCGTCCCCCTGTGGGTCCCCTGCCAGAGTGTTGGTTTAGGCTTCAGGATGCTGGCCTGGTGTGAAGGGAGCCCTCAGTCTGATGGAGGGGGTTGTCCACCTGTAGCGGGATTAGAACTGCAAAACAACTTCCAGTTCTCATAATCTTTTAACTTCTTCCTCTTCCTCTCCTCATAACAAACAAAAAAGGAGCAGCCTGGAAAGATGTTCCCTGTTTCCAAGGGGGTTTTGCTCTGCCGGAGGGGAGTGAGTGCTGCTTGTCCTTGCCCTGGCCTCCTGCTGTGCTGTGGCATCGCCCCTTCAGATCTCCGCTGTAGCTCCTCCTGTATTCCTGCCCGTCCAAACACGTTAGGATAGCAGGATTACCTCTGCTTACAGTTTGTTAAATAATCCGAGTGCTTAAAAAAAAAACGGAGTTATGTTGGAAACGTTCTGGTACAAAGCACTTCTGAGGAGGTGGTGGTCACTTGGCCTGTTTTAGGTCAACTCACTGCATCGTCAGTACAGGCAGAGTCTGAAATGTTTGTGCCCCAGAATCTCATTTGGTGGTGGAACCTTTTGGTTGCCCTGTATGTCACTGCTCTTCACAGCATGCAAATGCAGACATGGGGAGTTAAAAGGTCAATGGTATATCTTGAACAGTTTCTCTGCACAGCAGAGGTGTGAGAAGCCTGATAAAATATGTTTGTTACAGTGGAGAGGATAAATACCTTCTAACCTTTGCTTGTAAGCCAGTCTAGATATTCAGCTTTGCCTCTTGACACTAATCACTATGTCAGTAAAAGCAGAGGAAAACCCTTCCTCCCTGATGGATGTGTATCCACTCCCTGTATTCAGCTGCACCTTTCTCATTGGAGCTTACAGTGCTGAAGGCCTGAAGGGTGAAGTGCAAGTAAAATATTTTCTTGCTTTTTAAGGAATAACTGATTATAGGACAGATGCCCTCAGTGTCTCCTCCCCCAGTATGGATGTATTAAAAGATGCACAATGATTTATTTCTCTCCAGACATGTGTGCTCTTTCCCAGCTGTGGCTATTAATTGTAGAAGATTCTTGAAGAGGGACTTTTTACAAGGGTGTGTAGTGACAGGAGAAGGGGCAATGGCTTCAAATTGGCAAAAAGTAGATATTAGGAAGAAATTCTTCCCTGTGATGGTGGTGAGGTCCAGACACAGGTTGCCCAGAGGACCTGTGGCTGCCCCACCCCTGGAAGTGTTCAAGGCCATGGCAAGGGTGTGGAACCAGCTGGTCTTTAAGGTCCCTTCCAACCCAAGCCATTCTGTGATTCTGCTGTCTGGAGGAATTTTTTTCTTATTTGTTTCCTTTATATGACCTGCCTACAGATTACTTGGTAAAATAACCCCCAGAAGCTTGTACAGGTTACTTATAAACATGATTGTGTGGCTTAATAAATGTAATTGTTTAGTTGTTGGTTGTCTAAGGCCTTGTGGTTTCATTTTGGAAGATCAGAAGACAATGCAGTTTGTATTGGTGAGGCTGGAAAGAATAGCTAAGAGGAGCCTTAAGCACTCATTAGCAGCTATTTCTTGCTCCAGATGAAGGAGTCCATTTGCTGTTATCTGAGTTATTGTTATACCTAATCTTTTCTCTTTTGTATGCCTGACCTTTTAGCAGCAATTTGATGTGTCCTTTGATGACCGAGTCTTGGATAGCTGCTATTTTTTTAAATAAACCTAAGGAAATTTAGATTAATTTGTTTAGAAGCAAATTATGTAGGGCACGGGTCCACTCTGCAGTATTCTGACATGAAGTGACTCTGATCCACTGCCCAAGACAAACGTTTATTAATACACCTGGGAAGGAGCGGGGTGGATGGCCAGAGCTGGCTGCTGATAGATGAGGTGAAATATGTGAAACTAATGAACTGCAGTAATCAGGTCACACATAATAGAACTGGTTCTCCCTCAGCATGGTTTTATTATGTATGGGGATATTTATTAAGATCAGTTTCTGCAGTTTTGTCTGCGTAGCTCTACCAGGTTAGCTTCAGTCATTATCCACTAACTATAAAGCCCCAACAGCTAGAATTACTTAAGCAATGTTGTAGTATAAAGTCATTCTGCATTTCCTTTGCTGTGCCTTTTACAGGCATGGGAAACCTGAGGCTGACTTCCCCAGAGAATGAGACATGGTTGGTCCTTCCCTTTGCTCCAAGTGGTTTGTCAGTGTCATCTGGAATATGTCAGAGCCAGGAACTGTATTTCAGTCTCCCAATCACAGCAGTGTCTCAGCCACGAGGTCCTTTTCCTACTCAGAGCACAAAACACACCTGGCAGCAATTTTTGCATACCAAATTTCCTCCCTTGGGATTAGCTGAACGCATGATTCACGTGTGGTGTTTGAGGGAGAGATGCTGGTGCAGAGAACAGATCTGAAAATACCTTTCTCCTTAAAGGAAGTGGCAGTAGCTATAATTTTGGTATGTTTTGGTTGACTGATATGCTACTAGCTTTGGGGTGTATGAATGTTTAGAGTCAAGATGTATAGGTTCTGATCTTCTTTTTCTTAATATTACTGCCTTAATATTGCTTGCTATCTGTTCCTCTGAGTGTTTAACATGATCTGCTCACATTTACTTGTATGCCTTTGGCTAGAGTTGTGTGTGCTACGTAAGGGTGAGTAAGGGAGACTTTGAAAATTAATTCAGTCTTGGGTATTTGAAACCATGAGCTGTATTTAACAGGATAGATTGTAGATGAGAAGTAACAATGGCCCTTGAATGTTGCAGTTCAGATGGGAAAGCATAAGGGCTTCTCACTGGCCCAATCAAAAGAATAGATTATTTTAGGCTGCTATGGGGAGAGTAGTACTGCTGAGGAGGTACAGGTGTTAAATGACCATTACCAAGTAAATGTTTCCCCACCCACCCCACCTTGATCATCTGACATAAGTGTTCTGAAAGCGAGAGCAGTGATAGAATACTCTGAACACCTGCAGATCCTTGTGGGACTTCATATAGAAAAGTGTTCAGACAGGTGAATCTTCACAATATCAAGAAAATTTTAAGTGGGGAAAAAAGCAGAAATTATAGTTTACTGTGGGTTGGCTTTCTGGCACTTGTTTAAAAATGGAAGACTGCAGAATAGCAGGTGTGAAAGGACGTGTGGTTTTAACTGTTCAAGCCTAATTGTTACCTGGAGGCAGACAGCAGTGGAGATTTAGCATTTCTTGAAAATTTGGGTCAGCTTCTGATTGGGGAAGTCACAAGACACCACATTTTTCATGACAGTGTCCTGACAAGGCTCTGGACTTGGCTTGCTTAATTATGTTCGGCTTGTCACTTGCCAAGATAAATATGTGCTGTCCTGCATTTGTGACTCCCTGGTGGGGTTTACAACAGTGGTCTGTCAGGGCTAAAATAAGAGCTGCTCGCTGAGTGCTTGGCTGTGGGGCGGTTGATAGCGAGTACAGTTCATAACTTGTGCTGGAAAATGGACTTTTCATTTGCCTTTCAGATCCTGCGTGGGCGACTGCGTCGGCACGGAGTGCCCCGTGTGCCACGTGCCAGCCTGGCTGCAGGATGCCCAGATCAACCGGCAGCTGGACTCCATGATCCAGCTGTGCAGCAAACTGCGGGAGCTGCTGGGCACGGACACCCCCGGTAAGGGTCACCCGGCACGGCCGCAGGGTCCCGGCCGCTCCCTCTCATCTCCCAGGCTGTGTGGGGAACGAGCAGTGCGGCCCTGCTTAACATTCCGAAGGGCTCTTCCAAATCATGTTTGGGAAATTTGATTTGAAGAGAACTGTCTGTATGGATTGCTCGTTCTTTGAATCTGTTTTACGAAGAAATCCGCATGAGCGGGTTAGTCCATAATTCATTAGAACCTGTCTTCCAAAATTAGATGGAAGTGGGAGAGATTGCCAAGTCACGTGGCACAAACCAGGGGCCCCAGTTGTCATATCCTGTGCTCTTAGGTGAGCCCCAGTGTGTAATGTTCTGCACTGTATGAGGGGACCCTGTTAAAAGAATCAATGCATATATTCTCTGGCCCCTCGTGTTTCTGTGCACTGAGGCGTGTGTGCTGTCCCGGGAATCTTCAGTTTAGGGTTTCTGCACATGGCAAAAATTATGCACGTTCCTTGCCTAAAAGGGGAAGGAAGCAAGTCTTAACTCATTTATTTTCTGGTCCCTAACAATCTGCTGCAGTGGAGTTTTGTCACTGCTGACTGTGCTGGAAGATTGCAGGGAATGTACTCTGGGAATTCATCTTTATCAAATTTTAGGCTGTTTGTGAAAGGAGTTAAAAATGAAGTGAAACAAGCGTAGGTGAATGGTGAATGTATGTCTCTTTTGCAAGCTCAGAGAGGAGCATTTATGTAACATCAAGTTTTAGAAAACATTTATTTAGCTGTCAGATATAGAAAAGGTATTTCTTCCTTCATTGTTGCTTCCTAATATGTTTGTCTAAATTAAAGATTCTTTTTTTATGTCTAATCCCATCAGCACCTTGATTCATTTATGGAGTAGCTCTTTATTGCCATCAGAATGCATTTAAGTGAGGAGGCTGGAAGCCTGTGTCCAACTATAAAGGAATACATTTTGTATAAATATAAAATCCTATGGTGATTAAATATTCTGGAGCACAGAAAACATAGATGATGGCTTAAACAGGATTTCAGGGAAATATTTTAAGTGATGAAGGCTTTGAAAAACACACTTGGAAGAGAATCTCTGAGAGGAGCTATTTGTGATGCTGTAAATAAAGCATTTAAAATGCAACATGGTATTATTATTGGTAGTATTGATACTGTTTAGATGCTTTGGAGGACTCTTACAGATGGATTCACTCTTAGAAGTGGTATGATGTTTAACTGTACTAGGAATTGAGCAATACATTTAGTCCCATAGTTCTTAAAAAATAAAGTCTGCATGGTGTGGCTAAACAGCAGAACGAAATGAGGTTCTTTTTATCATCCCTTGTTCTGACTTCAGACATGAAATTGAAGTTTATGAGAGCGTTATATTTGGAGCTAAAGTTAGGAACTGGTGTGGGAGAGGACTTTCTACCACTTGTAATCTTTGCAGTGTGCTAAGGATTAGTACAGTGGCCCTTTGGATGTTTCATACCAAGGTTAAGAGAAAAACCTCTGGAGTTGGTGGTAGTTCACTGTCAGGAATGGCTTGGATGCATCAGTAAATGAGCACACCTCTGAGAACAACCAATTCTGTGCTGTAAAAAACACCCCATATTGTTGAAAATCACAGGATGTTGTAGCTTCAGAGATTTTGAGAGCAAATCCTTTGGGATGTGTTGTCCCTCGTCTTGGGCAGATCCGTCACCTCCCATAGATATCTATGCCTTGAACTTAATGTATCCAAAGTGAAATGTGTTTGAGTTTGGAGAATCAGGGCCCCTCCTGTTGGGGACTTGCTTTCATGCTCTTACAGCACTGTACTTCTGTCAACAGTATTTTCTTCTCTTTTTTTTTGTGAGAAGGTCAGAAATTGTACTTTTATGTTCCAGTAAAGGAAATAGACCGAAAAATCAATCTTTCAGTGGAGGAAAGGAAGAGGAGCAGTCGAAACAAAGAATATTTCCATATATTTGTTTTATGTCTCTTTTGCGTATTTGCTTTATATGCCTTGTTTTGTTGTTGTGGCTCATATCAAGGCTTCTCTTTGAGAACCTTGTTGACACTGAAATTTCTAATGCAAGTGCATCCTGCTGCCCTTTTTTTAGTCTGTGACAGAGCTAGTGAATGCAGCAAGTTGTGTGCTTTTCTTTAAAAAGCCCCAGAACTGCTGTGACTGAAAAGGATAGGGTTAAGCTCACATATTGAATGTTTCAAGTACAAAAATCCCTGTACCCTGAGGTTCCACAGTAGATATGAGAGGGATCTCACTTTGTATTCCGTTGGGATAAGAATAGCTTTTGCCAAGCAGCATGTGCATTGTAAGAAGCAGCAGCAAGTAATTCAGGGAAGGCTGCACAAAACAGCTAATATTTCCCTTCTAAATTAAAGGGAAACACAACAAATGACACTGCTGGGACAACTGAAGGAAGATTGACAAATGACAAACCTGAAACTGGATAGAAAATGCAAATTAGGGGTAGAAAATTCAAACTACAGGTAGCAAATGCTGGTCTCAAAAATAATTCACTTGTTAGAGATGTTATATTCTTAGTCTATGGCGAGGTGAGGAGAGCTGTCTGACCTTCTCACTGCCCTGTGTTGTACCTTTACAAGGGCAGTGGGGAGCTGGGTGGCTGGCAGGATTCACAGGTGGGTGTCTGCACCTCAGAATCTTCGGCTCTGATCCTGCAGCACCCAGGGCGTTGTGAGAACTGGCTCGGGGGGGGGATGATGGGCTTCGTGGGGGGGAATTAACAGGGACTTGTTGAATCATGGGCATAGTGTATATAATACAGTAGAGAGGAAGGAAGCTGATTTACAGTGATGGTTTTGAAAGTGAATTCCTAAATACTTCAGCAGATTTTTTTGTGTGATGCTCTGTAAAATGAGGAGATTGTTGTTGATTTTCAGAAGAATCGCTTATAGATGATTATGCTTTATTCTGTGTAACATAATGTGCTTCACTCTAACACAGTCAAACTAAGCCTTCCTCCCCTCTTCTCAGACAGAGCTGGACCTTGCAGGTGCTGGTCAAAGCTTCCTAAGCTCATGCTGATGATGGTGGACAGTGGGAGAGATCAACTTTTTATCAGCCTTTATAGTATCATGACTTAGTTTCACGTTTGCTGATGTGGAGGGAAAGATGTCGAACTTCTGTTGTAACAGATTACATTGCATTTCATGTGTGCTGTGACATTTTTCATAATAGCTAAAGATGAGGTTTTGAATAGTTGGAATTTCTCCCTTTCCCCACCCTGTGTTGAATACTTAGCTTGCAAAATAATCATTCTTCAGTGAAGGCACTAATGTTGCACAGATGGTACCAAAGCTCTTCCCTTTGATTTTTAATAAGGGACTAGTTTGTCAAAGAGATTTCTCAACTTCTGTTCTGAAACCCGTAATAGAGAATAATTTGAAAGGCACACAATGTGCATCATTATTTTCCTTTGATGCAGATTAATGATAGCTAAACCACATTTTCTAATTGCTCCTTTTTTCTCCCCTGCTCTAGCCTGTTATTGCAGTGCAGCAGAACTTGGAGATGGAGCTCTAGTTGCAAGGCACTGCCTATCTCCTCATATTTTTTTCTACTCTCAACTCTTTTAACATTCAAGAAATTCAACTCTATTAAATGTCAGCATTAAGAAACGTGTGCTTATTATGTGCAAATAAGTCTAATTTAGAAAGAATTCAGTTAATGTATTGTGTGTATGAATGTTACATTTAATAGGTAATGGAGAGTAAATTTACTGCATTTATTAAAGGCTGATTCTAATACTGTTATTGTGCATGCTCTTTGCAGTATTGCAGATGCTTAAAATCTGGGATTAGTAAGGCATGCTCTACTGATTTACCTTGTCTCAATGCATCTCTAAAAAATGTTGGGAGGACACTTATGTATTAAAAAGATAATTAAATCTAAATCTTATATAGTAATTTTTTTTCATTCCTGTTGAGATGCAAGCTCTGGCTTCCAGCTTGGAGACAGCAAAGAATTCATTGGGATCGATTTTTCTGTGAGCAATTTTCTCTGAAGGTAGTTTAACTGAATGCACTTAGCTGCTAGATAATGCCCTCTTAATATAAATTAACATTTACATATTAAACCATAAGAACTTCCTTTCATCATCTTAGCACTGTGCCTCTTCTCTCTGTCTCCCTCTCACAGCTCTGGGTCCATCAAAAGATTCAATTTTCAGGGAGGATAGATTGGTCATTTGACCAAATTACTTCTGCTCCCTCTGTTGTCCTCTTTGGAAACGGAGGAAAGGGTAGCAGAGTCTAAGAATTACCATTTTTTGCAGATGCTGCTGTTCAGGTAAAGTTGGCGTTAGCTACAGAGTATTCCAGGGGATGGAAGAATGGCTGGGAGGTACCACACAGCCTGGCAGAAGGGCAGCTTCTCCCCCAGCAGGCTGTGGAGGTGCCCTGGGTGTGCTGGGATGGATCTCTCTGACAGCAGGTGTGGTCATCTCATCGTGTTCTCAGGTGCCCCCCTGCTCTAAAACATGCAGTGTGCTCTTTTGCACCTGAAGTAGTTGCGTGTGAGGAAAAATAATTCTGGGAAACTATCTGGTGTATTGTTATATTTTCAGCAGGTTTTTAATAACCTGACTGACAAGGCCCTGCTGAGCAGCCAGTAGTGAACAGATTGGTTTGGGAACCCTCGTGGTGGATTGTTCCCAGGCTTTCTTGCTGCCAGAAGTGGTATGTCCAGAGCTTCCAGAGTAAATTCTTCACCATGTTACGCTGCTTTAGGTCTTATTTCTGAAGGGCAGTGCCTTTGAGTGAATTTGTCACTTGGACTTTAAAGCCTCGCTGTGCTATACACATCAGAAAGAATTCTGGCCATCACAAAATTGTTGCACAAATTACTTCTGCAAGCTGATTTTAGTCTGTCTCTTTACTTGGGGAAGACTGATGGTTCTAGCAAGGTAAATATTTTACAAGGAAATCTGCTAGTTGTGTAAACAGTGAAGGCACGACAAGTAAATAGTTACTCGTGTTTTATATTTTGCATCTGTTTGCAATCAAGCTCTTCCTTTTTTTAGATGTTATTGTCAGAACAAGATTGGATACGATCTCAGAGACAGCTAGTTCTGAGATTTCAGTCTCAATTTCAGTCCCTTTCTTCCCGTTTGCACCAACTCCAACCCCTACAGAAAACCAAATAGCTGCAGTTCTGTACTTGATGATTGTCTTTAGATACCTAAATGATTGATTAGCTAGCCTCCAGCTGTATTCCTAAAGACTTTTGGTCTGATGGCTTACATGTTCCTCTGGCTAAATCTAATATGTAACATATTTTAATTCAAGGAGTAAGTAGGGTAATTGAAATCAAGACTGAGGAAACATTTAACTTTGAAATATTGCTTTAAAAGAAAACTGCAAATGCCTGTTTTAGTGTTCAATTACTAGCAATGCAATTCTAAGTGAAATTTCAAACATACATTTTCAGGGCTAAGGGATTGGGACTAGTTTGTTTGCTGTCTGTGAGTTTATCACAGCTTACTGTGGAAAATGGGCTATAGTTACTAACCCCAAAAATAAGAGAAGGTGTGGAGAAAATAAATTACCCATTGAAAGTTAATGCACCAAGTGAAAGTGATAGATTGTTGCAGTGAGTGTCTGTCACTTTTAATAATTGAGGCTTTGTATAGTTTATTTCAAGAACATTTAATCCCCCACGATAATCTTGGTCTTAGTTCTGTTTCAAAAAAAAAAATAGAAATAACTTTCCTCACTAGGCAAAGTTCATGTTGGTTTTGTGTTTGATTTGCTGTAAATCACCACAACTTTTGTGCATCATAGTCCCTGAGGTTTGAGGCAACAGGAAGAATGCCTTGTGCATTTACTTTGAAGGACTTGTCCAAGTAGCCTAAAATAACTTGGGTTTCCATGAAGAAATTGGTAAAAAATATGTTCTAGTTTTTTTGCACCAAAAAAAGTTGTCTAATTAAATTAGTGTCTAACTTAGAGGTCACTTTGTGCTCCTTAATTTATTCTTAAGCCATTGAGAACAGTATTTATAGTCCTTGTCCTCAACTGTTATTTGCTGGGAGTACAGGATATTCCTCTGTCATCTTGGTTATTGATTTGTAATGTGCTGTACAGTGTGATTTATAAAATTGCTCCACTGCATATTTTTAGAGAAATGTTTGAGGTCATCAAAATGTTTAGCTTCCTTGAAGTTACTTACTACCAAGGGGTAAAGGATCAAATGACAGGACACAATTACTTACAGATTTTCTTTGTATTCCTCCGATTCATCTGCTGTATCTGTGGAATCAGTCAACATTTCTCAGGAATGTTCAACACTCTTCTAAGGATATTATTTTTGCTTGCCTAGAGCTATTCTTCTTTTTCATCTTCAGATGAACCGTATTATCTTTTTAGAAAATTGCCTCTGTGCTCTTTTGTGTATGCACATGCTATTTCGTTAAACCTATTTCCAAGGAGAACTCGGGGAGAGAACCAACTTCTGTCCTTTTCTGAGATGATCAGAAATCCTCTGTGCACGTGCTGAAGGAATTTCTCTACCAGGATGCTCACTTGCCCAGTGGGTCACTTGAGCTGCACTAGGATCCCTGAACTCCAGAGCGGCAGGTGACCTTGCCAGGGGCTTTAAAGCATTACCAGTGTCTTCTTAGAAGAAATGAAGGCACTCTTAGATGGTGTTTAGTAACACTTCAGCAGTTATTGCAGTTGTTTTTATGACCCTTGTTTGCTCTATGATGTTCTGTAGAGCTCTGTAACTCTATAATTATTTCTCCTCTTCCCTGATGCACTTAGATTCAGCAGAAGATGCATCCACACCACCTGACTCAGACTTGGGCAAAAACAACAAGAAGGAACAGATAAAAATGTGGTTCAGCCCAAGAAGTAGGAAGATTCGATGTGTCCTGAACAAGAGTCAGCCTGAGACTAAAAGAAGTGACCCTGGTGAGGACACATCTTCAGTTTATGATTTCTTTCCTTCCCCTCCTCACGAAAAGCCCCCTGAGCTGACAAAAAAACCAACCCAGAGGCAGAATAAGAAGATGAAGAAGAAACATCTGGCAGACATTAACAAAGTGTGGAGCTTAGAGAAGCCTGGGCAGAAAGGAGTTGAGGAGAAGACTCCCAAGGAAAAGTGTGTGACCATCTGCAGTCAGCCTGTGATCCTGTGCACTCCGGAACCGGAGAGCCCCGAAGAGAGACCTCAGCAGGAGGCTGTGAAGGAAGATGACTCCAGCAAAAATACAGGAAATGTGGAAATGGCACCACAGGTAGAATCCCCAGAGAAGAACGATAACAGTGAGGTTGTGTGCCCTGCACAAGAGAGCAAAGAAAACAATTGTGCTCCAGAGACGTCGCTGTCAACAGAAAATGAAACCACGCTGTTAAAACGTGGGAGGGAGCAACCCGGGCTTCAGGTCACTCCTCATCCTAAAAGACTGAGGAGATCTGAGAGGGGCATTGCTGGGAAGGCAGGCAGACAGGCAGATTGCTTGGAGGAGTTACCTCAGGGCTCCCCCATCTCCCCAGCGACTGAACACCAGACACCCGTTCAGATTTGTTCCTCTGTGTCAAAACTCACTGGTACCGTAAGGAAGACAAGAAGCTCTGCAGTCCTTCAAGCAACAGATAGTCCTTCACTTTCAAAGTCTCCCTCCACTCCATCTACTCCTAAGACTTGCAGTCAAGTTTCGATACCATTCAGTCCTTCTGTGTTGAAATCCCCTGGTGGCAACACCATTTCCAGAAGAAATTACAAAGGAGAGACTTTGCTCCACGTTGCTTCCATCAAGGTAGGACCATCATCTTCTAGTTTAACTCTTAACAGAGGTTTAAAAAGACAATGTTGTTTTAAAAGTATTCTGTAAATCAGTTACTTCAGAACATCCTGTGTCAGTGGGGGGGAAATCTCATTTTGTGATCTTTATCTTCTAGGTTTATTGGGAAGTTTCCAACCCGATTCTGATTTATAAAGAAATGACTATTGGAATGATCAAAGATTGTTGTACTTGGAAACTCAGTGCTTTACAGAGTCAGTTATACCCGTGAGTTCTAGGAAGTGATAAGCATTTAGATGTTTTGGCCTTGTGTGCCAGAAGGCTGTCTCTGATTTGTCATAAGGAGCTCAGTAAGTCTTTCAGACCTCAGTGAGTGATCCTGATCAGTTTAACTTGAACAGGACGAGGTCTGAATTACCTGCATAAAGATAACTCTATGAAACCTTAATTGGGGTCAATTCCATAATCTTTAAAGTCTGCCACCTGGTGCAAGTGTTGGCTCAAGAGGAATGGGGTGCTGCACCCTGTGATTCCCATGCTGAGCCCTGTGCTCTGAAGGGAAGGGACAGAGTTGGGGTGTTCTCAGTGGGCTTCAGTTTTGTGTAGGATCAGTGTTATTCTTGGCATGACAGCTGTCACTCATTGTGCTGTTATTACCTTAGCCAGGTCCTGCTGTGGTAGAACTCCATGGCTTTGCTCTTTGCAAGGGCTGTCCTTGCCCATTACTTTGTAGAACTGCAGGGAGGGTAAAACTTGTCCCAACTCATCAGATGCGCTCGTGGCAGCTCCCTTCGGAGAGGTCGTTTCAAGGAGTTTGTAGTCTGGCAATTTAAATGTACTTTGTGCTAAATCATAATACACAAATACTGTGTGGTTAATAAACTGCCTCTGCTGGAAGAATTGATTCCTCTGTAAGCATCCTGACATTTATACAGCACTTCTGTGTGGTGAGACAGGCTGTTCTTGAGCAATAACTGTGCCCTCTTTCAAAGGCATTCTAATAAGCCACTCCTGCTGCACGAGACCTTTTTGAACAGAAGTGGCAGCTGAGTTTGAGTTCAAACCTCGTACTTGATGCCATTAATATGGAGTTAGGGAGGAGAAAATGAAACATTGTCCTCGCAGGACTCAAGAGCTTCGAAGGATAGATCTCTTGTTACCTCTCCTCGTAAGTCCTGTATATTCCTCTTTATTAAAACACTGTTTACAAATTACCCTTGCATGATTTACTGGGAATTTGTAATGAATACTGTCATGACTGGCTGGCTCTAAAAAAAATTGATGTACCTTGACTAGTTTTCACACAGGTGTGGTTTCCAGCACTGTGTCTGACACTTCTTTGGAACACGAGTATTTCATCTAAGAAAACAGCCCCTCTGCAGCTTATTGTGATCCTTGGAGTATTGACATATTGGGGATGTTTCCAGTAAGGTGTTTTGTCATTGCAAAGCATTTTGAAGATAAATGAGTAGAAATGAAACAGTTCATGCTGTAGACAGAGGATAAGCATGTTTTGATTATCCAGGTTCAGTGTTGTTGCTGGCACTGCTTGTTGGCATTGGCACAGCCCTCTGAGAAAGGACAGGGCTGCCCCAGGGGGCTGGAAAGCTCATCTCCAGCTGGACTGTGGGCAGTGGGGTGGGCTTCTCTCAGTCCTCAGTGTGAATTCCTTTCAGTGTTGCCTTCTGATGTTTATAATTATTGAGCTAAAATGGGAAGTGCCTTCTGTTCCTCATTAGTTCTGCTGTGGTTTTTTATCCATCAGTTCCATATTCATTGAGGTGCTCATTAGCAAAGGCTTGTTTAGCTAGGTAGGGCTTCAGGGTGATCCCAAAGTTACTGCTGTCTTTTAAATGGAACTAAAATAAGGCCAGGGAAGTTATCTTTTGGTTATGGTCACAGTTTCCTTGCACGTATCTTTGTTTCCAGTTACTAAACTTCCAAGGCAACTCTGAGAAAGATGTTTTGCTGTCTCAGTTCCTCATCTGTAAAGGAGGTTATACAGGTGACCTCCTTTCTTTTGTGGTGTTCTTGGTTCTTGTTATGTGGCTTAATAATCAGGGGATTATTGTGGCATTCTGAAGAAGCTGCTGCATCCCCTGGTAGCCAGGAAATGTAGGCACAGTCGCTAGTCCCTGTCAGAGTAGAGGAAGTTCCTGGAGCCAACGTGATAGGGGGACTTGCTCTTTCTAAAGAAGGATTGGCCATGGGGTTTTGGAACATCTTACTTTGTGAAGCAGGGACCAAGAAAATAGCAGGGATTGATTGCCATGGGTGAATGGCACTGCAAGAAAACATGGTTTTTTTGCATGCAAGTATCTTTTATAACCTGTATGTTTCTAGATCACTCTTCCAGCTTGTAGAACCCTGCTATGGAACTGATAAGTGTTTCCTCAAAGACATTGGTCTTGAAAACACCAGGCCTTATACTGTATGTTTATTCTCATTGTGGAGTTTAGTTTGGGGTTGGGGATTGTGGGTTTTTTTGGTTGATTGGTTGGTTTTTTTCTTTTCCAAAATAGAATGTCATTTCCATTTCCATTGTCCAAAATGTCATTTTTTTTCTGTTTCTGGGAGGAGTGTTTCTCTTCCAGTTTCGTTTTATAGGCAGTTTTTTCCTTGTTCTTTCCACAGGCAGTAATGTTTTTCCATGTGTATAATGGGCAACAGACATGTAGCTGCCACCCTCCCCCCCAAAGTGAAATAAAGTCTAATTCTCTGGGACTTCATTAATTATAAAAATAAATCTGTATTATTTTCATTAGCTCTTAGGGTCTAATATCCAGAATTTAATTAAAGCTAATTGAATTCTCCCTTTTTTTTCTTATTTAAAAGAGATCATAAACAACATTATCACGCATGAAAAGTGAGTGTTGTGCTGTTTCAGGTGATTCTGAGGGATTGTCCCCATTTACTTCTACTAGTTATTACCTTACTGAAATCAAAATGCTTCTCAAGAAAGGTTCTGGTGTGGCTGAACTTAGTGCTGAGCTAAACTAATAAATGAAAATAAAGGTGACTCTTCCTGCAGCAAACAGCAGTCATGTTTATCTTCATGGTCATTAAAGGTAAAAATTCCAATTAGTTAAAATACAAAATGTGACCTTTTCAACTCAGAATGTTCTAAACTAGTGGGAAATTGCCCAATCAAAAGCCCTTCCACAAGGGAGTTTTTTTACAGTAGGATAACAAATTTTCCCAGGCCCAGCTCTTACCTGGCAGTTAAAACACAGCACGACCCTGCTTGCTGAGTTAGTGTGGGGAGAGAAAAACCCCACTGTTTCTTGGTACAGCATTTCAGCTCTTGGCTGTGCCTGTTTCTGCTGCATTGCCAAGGGAGATGATGGGGCAGTCAGTCCCCAGTGGAATTGTGCCACTGGGGGTTCCGGGAAGAGGGATAGTGAACTACAGTGCAAGAGGGTTGCTGAGGACCAATAGCAACAGGCACAGTTTCCAGGGTGGGAAGTAGCTGGGAGAAGGCTCGTTGTGCTTCAAGTTAGAAGGAATCAGAGAGTTGTCCCTGCTCTGAGGAAAGAAGAAATTGCATCTGTGCAGAGCACCTGCTTAGTTTGACGAGAGAGAGGTGGTGTACTGGGACCAGTTTTGGTTACCTCCTGTTCCAGGGGCCCTTTAGTTCTGACAGCTGACCTGGAGGGCCTTCGGAAAGGCTTCACCCGTAGCTGACCCGCTGTTCTGGACTCTTGGTGGTCTTTACATCATTACACCTAACATTAATAACTAGGAGATAATCCCTTCCCAGCCTGTGAGACTGCTCTGCCTTTTTGTTGCTGTGTTACCACTTAATGACACATTAGGAGGACGGTGAAAGAAGATCCTGTGTTTTTTAGTCATGGTCAACATCAGAATACCTTGTAAATCCTGTTTTCAGGTGTCTGACCTAGTCAGCTGAGCAGGTCCTTTGGTGCCAGATATGTGTGTGCCATGGCTGAGTGTTGGGTCACAGAACATCTCCCCTCCTGGAGAAGTGAGGCCAAGGCAAACATGAAATGGCATTGGGGTTTCAAATGCAGAAGTTAAGAATGTGAAAACTGGACATGAGTCAAAGCAATCCATCTTCCCAAGTGCTGATTTGAAAGCTTGGAAACAAATTACCATTTCTTTTTCAATAATGCTTGGTTGTTACTTCTGTTTCTGAGGCAGGTTGAACTTCTTGCATGCGTTCTCTTTAAAGGTTAAGCACAGCTGCTTGTGTGTTTGTTATTAATAAATGGTCTGCTGGGTAGGGGATTGATTTGGAGAAATTTGAGGGGAAAAATTTGCTGGTTGCTGGAAAGAGTTGATTGGAGCATTTGCAATTCCTATAAGCACTCTGTAATTCATATTTGTCCTCTTTTGACTATTTATGAGTTGTAAATAATCTAGTTCCCTCCCAACTTAAACAAACAAATGTCTTTGGGTTTGAAAGGGGTTTTTTTCTGTTCATTTGTTTGACCTAAAGATTGAAGTCTCTTGGTTACATTTGGAAATAAAGGGAGAAATGTTTGGTAGAAGTAGTACAAGTTTTTAGCTTCATCTTCATGTACTGTCCTAATTCTTTGGATCTTTTGAACTGGTAGAATGTTTTTATTAACTTAATAATTTAAACAAGACTTCTGGGTGGAAAATATCTATGGTTAATGGAGATTGTAAAGGGTACAACGGGGAAAAAAACCCCTGTAAAATAGGACTGAAAGGACACTTGCAGTTCTTAACCGTATGTCTGTGTTAAAATCAGGACACAATTGACTTGAGAGAAAAGGAAAAAAAAACCAAACGACCAACGACCTCGTGCAAGCCAAGTAAAGATGTTTTTCTGGGCTTGTGCCATCTGTGGCTGCAGGAACTAAATTCTCCTTGGGAGGAAGTGTTAGTAAAGCTGTGCAAATACCCTTCTCTGCAAGCTACTGCCGGCTCCAGGTCTGCCAACAGATGGCCCCAGTGCCTTTCCTGCTCGTGTGGTTTTCCCAGCTCCGGTAAACTCTGTCAGGGAGGGAGAGCAAACCCGTGGCTTTATTGTGTTGTCACTACACATGAGCTTTGTTATGAGCTTAAAACGTCCTTTGCTTTGTTTCTTCCGAACGGACGATTCCGCATTCTGCAGCAGTTCTCTGCCTCTTCAGGAGCTGGATGTAATCCTTCATTGATAATGAGATTCCAAAATAAACACTTCCCAGTGAATTGGTAACGTTAGCATTTTTCTACCTGCTGTCTGTCGTGTTCTCTCTTTCCAAACAAGGAGTGTCTCCATTTACCTTTCCACTCTGCTGTGCTACAGACTGCACAGACACTCCCAGGGTCCCTCCTCGCATCCTCTGCTTGTGGCTCCCTGTTGGAGACTCGTGATTTCCTGCTGGCATTGCTGGATGGAGTCATCTCAAGGAACTAAATGGACTAAGTTGATCCCAGTAATAGTCAAAGTGCAGTTTCATGAAGCATCTTGGAATCAGTAATTCCATACTAATAGCTGTGGTCTCTTCTGCTTTCTTGTGGAGGAAAGACATATGGGATAGACATATTTGGAGCTGAGACTTGCACCTACCAGGTCCTTACTCTTTGTTGTTTAGAGTTTAGAAAAGCATTTATTGACTTCTATTGCTTCTAGAAAAGCATCTGTTGACATCAACTGTGAGAGAAGAGGTCAGTGTAAAAAAAAAACAAAACCAAAACACCTCTCCCCACCTCCTTCCCTGGGGGAAAAAAAAAACCCAAAACAACCTCCAAAAAAACTGAACTGGCCAATGTTAAAAAAAAAAATGCACTTTTTTCTTTACTTTTGGATGCTGTCAGCACTGGTGTCCACCCCAGCAGCATTTCCTTTGATAAAACTGCAGCGCTGTCTCACAAATCAACGTTCAGGACTGATCTGGGAAGCTGTGGTGCTGCCTAATGCCCACACAGATTATTAGCTGTGCTTCCTGCTTTAAAGGAGTACTCCTGAAATGTCAAACCCTTGCTGTACATGTTTGCAAACTGAACTTTAAATGATAAACTCAGATCTCGCTCATTATAGATAATTGTAGCTTCTCTCTGTTGGAAAAGATCTTAATGCTGAGCAGTGTCTTGGCTGCCTCTGAGTAGCTCCTCAGGTTTGATGCATGTCTGTTCCCTTGCAGCCATGAGGAATATGCTGCTCTTAGAATTCTTGAATTGCTTTGAAAGGTAACATTTTGCTGGGACATCTAGGTTGGGAATAAAATGCATGAAATTTATCTCTGATGTGTTAATTTGCTTGATGACTGTAAAGCCAGAGATTGTCAGCGGTTCTTTGGTGAATTTTGAGTTTTCAGTTGTTGCCTGCTGGATTTATTTCTCCTGAGCAGCCTGTCTTAATATTCTCTCTAACTAAAGAGTAAAGATTAAGGCTATTTTGTTTTTTTGAAGTGTTCCTCAGTAACAAAAAAAATTGGATTAAGTTTATTTTTATTGTATTTAAAGCTTAATTTAATATTCTCTCAGCTTTTCTTTCTAAGGCATGCTGTGAGTAACAGGAATTCCTTGACTTTCCACTACCAGTGTCTCTTTGGCTTGCTTTTTCCACCTGCTCTTAAGATGGCCTGTGCTGCAGAGATGTCTGTGCCTCAGCTTCCACAGGAGCCTCCTCCTTACCTCTTTATAGCTGCATCTGGATGTGCTCCAACCTTACTACCAACTTTCTCTCTTGTACTTTGCTTTTCAGAGTGTCAAAACCTCCGATTCACAAATTCTACCCTTTTGCTTCCTTTGCCTTGTCTCTGCTGAGCCTCTCTCCATAATCCACCCTTTTCAACACACGTCTCCTTGCTTATAGTAAAAACCTAATACAGCTTCTTTCAAAAAGCAGATTTAAACTATTTTGGTAAAATAACTGTCAGAGAAAGTATTGATGAGATTCAACATGGGTAGTAATTGCAGTGTTAAATAAAACTCTTCTCCTTTTGACTTGTGGAAAAACAATTTCTAGAAGCTTGTCAGGCTTATTAATTTATTTCACCTATGTTTTCAGCCAGTTATTTAGATTAGCTTGAAAAAAAAAAAATCCAGTCTGAAGGATAAGGAAATTCTCAATAAATGTTCTTGTCTTTAATCCTTGCAGTTGACTCTAGTGGTCAGATTGCAATCAGCACAAACTTTTCCCTTTGTTTGGAGTTAAATCTGGTCTATGCATTGTTTTTATCTAGGAATATATATTTGTGCTAAATGTGTTGGTGCTTCCAAATGAACAGTAACGGTAAACTGTGATCTCCAAACAGTTGAGCTTTTGTTGCCCCTGACAATATCTACATGGAAGGCTTATATCATTGCATTCTTATTGCAGCTACATTTAAAGTTTGGCATCTCTTAAATTTCTGTAGCCTTTGTGTATCTTCTTCATTAGTTTTTCACAACTATTTTTTTTTCCCTATGTAGGGTGACTTAGCAGCTGTGGAACAGCTGCTGACAAACGGGGCAGACCCCAATGTCAAAGATAATGCTGGCTGGACACCACTGGTGAGTACTGAAGTCCTCTTTTTCTGTCATCTGTCTTCCAATCAGATTTCACTTTGTCCCTCCTTTCCTCACCCATAGTTTAGTTCCCTTTACACAGAGAATTTTGCAAAGTGAAGAAGTGATGATAAACAAGGCTAAAAGAATTCATAGCAACTACTGACCTGCCCAAATCTCACTCTCCTCTGCTGGTGTGTAGGGCAGGCCACGAAATCATTCAGCCTGCGATTCTGCAAGTGCAGAAGATAAAACCACAATAGCTAGAAAACGATCAATTGCAAACAATGTTTATATTTTATGGGTTCTTAATGCCCTCAGTGTTTTGGAAACATGTCAAGTAGTAGAATGAAAAAATTGCTCTCTCGGAATTGCAGAAAACAAATAAAAAGTTCTTTTCAACCATGACTTCTTCCTCTCCTGAAGAACACTCCTGACAGTCTCTAATCTGGAAGGCTTTGTTCCCTGCGGTCTAATTTGCACACAGCTGGCCTTTGTTCAGCTCCTCTCAGTGCTTTTTGTCAGTGCTGGGTTCCCAGGTTAGTTCCTGTCAGGAATGTCACGCACCATCCTGGCATATCGTCTCCCCCCGGCCCTCTCCTGAGCGTTGGAAAGTGAATTAACCGTGTGGCAGAAGTCCTTGCCGTGAGCCCTGTGTCACCTGTCCGCTCTCCCGGCTGTGCCCCCAGCACGAGGCCTGTAACCACGGGCACGGGGCGGTGGTGGAGCTGCTGCTGCGGCACCGGGCGCTGGTGAACACCACGGGCTACCAGAACGACTCCCCGCTCCACGACGCCGCCAGGAACGGCCACGTGCACATCGCGGAGCTGCTGCTCGCCCACGGCGCCGCCCGGGACGCAGTGTGAGTACGCAGGAATGTTGTGGGAACTGCGGCGGCAGCCACAGCTACAGCCTCCGGAGCCACAGCTGCAACCTCCAGAGTGCACGTTGAGTAAACGGGAAGCAAAGCCAGTAATAAATGTGATTTGTTTGAAGGGAGGGGGTGGGTGTTAAATGTACTCTCTGCTATGCTTGAAGCCTCCTTTTCCAGGTCGGTGTTTCCTCTCCACTTTCCTTTGTCCTAAGCTTTCCTGAGGACTCCTGAGTCACAGAGAGCTGGAGTACTGGAGGCTGTACTGGGAAAGCAACAACATATGCTTACCCTAATCTTACACTTTCCTGTTGGCATCTTGTTATAGCAACTGTCGGCTCGAAGATGCTGAGCTAGATGAATTTTGAACTGCTACAGCTGGTTTTTGTCTCTCTGCTTTTACTACACTACTTGCTAGCAGAAGGCATTTTGGTCCAGTCTCCCCTATTTTCACAAATGACATAAACACAGGCTGAGATTTGAGAAGTGGGGTTTTTTTTGTTGTTGTTGTTGTTGTGGGTTTTTTTTTGTTCTGGATCAAAGCACTAATCCTTGGTATACTTTTTAATTAAAAAAAAAAAAAAGCTTAAAAAAAAAAAAAAAAAAAGCTTAGAGTTTTTTTCAGTTGAGTCTTCTATACAGTTAACACCTCCTGAAGATTTTGGCATTTGTGTAGAGGAGATGTTAAAGAATCTTTTAGTCTATGAATAACCCTGCAGCCTATTAGTATTTCAGACACTAAATGTAATTTTAGGTGGTGTATTGTTGTTGTGCCAGGGCCTGTGTGTAAATTTGAGTCCAATGCAAGTTGTCAATAGGTGTGTGTATGTAGTAACACAGCAGGATGAAGTCTTGCATGACACAGGTTTCCTTGGCAGCTGCATAAAGAAGCATAAATAAGTTCAGCTTAATCACTTGAATTCTTAATATTTGCTCTTGAAGCCTACAGAATTAAGGTGCTCTGTGGGAAAGCGTAGGGTTTTCATAAAGTCCCAATCTTGAAGATATTAGAGTTTAAAAAAACAGCAAGAAAAAACCAAAACAAAGCAACAAACTCTCAAGACTTAAGCATGAAAAAGTAAAACAAGGATCAATTGTTCACCTTTGCTTTGTTCTTAAACAACAAGGACTAGCACATTACAAATTGACAGCTTCAGAAACTCATTTTCAAGACACTTTTTGACTGTCAGGAACTGGTTGTGTCACACTTATCACTTGTCTGTCTGGCATTTGAAAGCCTGGCACAGCCCCCAGCTCTGATGGAAGGTTTGACAGGACCTGAGCGCTGGGAGGTTTGCCCAGCTGAGACTCCAAATGCCAGCAGTGGACTCTGCAGGTCTCTCATTAGCCTTGGTCTCTGCTGCATGTGTTCACACAAACAGAGGTGAAGCTGAACCTCTTTCAGCTCATTCTACATGAGCAAACATGGCTTTCTGTTGAAACAGAAGCTTTTTAATCAGGGAAGGAGAGATGTATGTAAACTTCTAACTCTGCCTTAACTTTTTACTGAATGTAGATGATGTTCAGTTAAAATCCTTGTGAGAACAAATTTAGCTGCTGTTAATCTTTGTGTGATTTGTCTGACAAAAGCAGCCCTGGGTTCTTTGACAAAAATTCAGTCTTGTATGTCCCTCCTGGATTAATTGAGGCTTCCAGTACTTCTTTTCTGGCTGAAATGCTACTGTGTGTGTTGCTATTGCGTTGATGTTGGAAAGGGATTGGGCTTTTCCCCCTCCCTGTTTTTACAGAAAGCATTAGAGCCACACAGTAAGGATGTACAAGCAAAGCGTTCAGGCTTGAATAGTGAGACTCTGCTGACCTCTTCTAAACACTATCAAGAAACAGTACAAACAAGAACAGTGTTTCTGAGACTTCTAAGAATGTCTTGTGCCTCCCTTCCTTCCTGTGCCCCACTAGCTTTCAGCAATGAAAAGTGCTGTGATCTTTCCCTGGATCATGACTGTGCAAATCTTGCTGTGTGTTTTTTCTGCCACTGCCTCTGGTAGTTGTACTCCTAAATGAGCAGTGGTTGGATTTGTCTGGGTAAGTGGGTTTGAACCTTCTTTAACAGAGAAGGTTAAATTTACTCTTTTTTTTTTTTTTTCCTAGTGGATACAAGTACCCTTAGAATGAAGTCACATCTGACAAGAAGTTTTGTTTTTCTTCAGTGACTTCTTTCCTGGATCCCTGAAACCTGCAGAGCAGAGTTTTAAAAACAGGAGGCAAAACCAGGCTGAGCGCTCAAGATGGTGCAATTATAGTTCTTTTCATTATGACTAGTTATAGTTGGCTTCTTGGTACCTAATGCAGGATCTGCTCACCTTCCCATTGTTATTTTAGCATCTTTACAGTAGAAATTGAGGAGTAATGAGTAGATCTTGCATCTCTTCTCAAGGGTTTATTTTCTTGAGGAACATACCTGAGGTGTCCCTTAATTTTAGAGGTGTGCAGTGCATGAGCTAAGACTATGCCAAGCCAATTTTTCCAGGTCAAAAAATTTGTCTCATTTTAATTTGCTTTTTTCTTATTTTTTTTTTTTTTTTAGAGTATGAAACTCCTTCTAGTCCTTTTGTGGGGGCTCTTCAGGCTCTCAATGAACTACCTTTCAGCCCAGGAAAGGGCCCTCCTTAATGTGATGGAATAAAGTGATTCTTCATTACCTCACAGGAGAGCGGGGAGGAAAGTTTGATTAGTTCACTCTGGTTGCTTAAAAGTCTTTCCCTTTAGCAAAGCTCAGTAAAATGTGACCATGATAAATGTGTTCAAATGTTACTGGGGACACTATGAAATATATGGCGTGAAACCTCACAAAAGTGACTGATGTCTTGCTGCTGTTTTGACAGTAGAATTAACTCAGTTTTGTGTCTTAATGTCCCTTGTGTGTTGGAGAGTTAATCTACTGGAATAAAAACAGAGCTTGTGTTGAATAGCCTGCTTAGAGCAGTAGTTTTGAAATTTAGAACGACACTCAACTGTGCCAGAGGAAATATGTTTTTAAAGATGTGCAGTATTTACTGACTGCAGGCCCAAAGGCAGGTAGGACCCACTGGTCTGTGCAGGGATGTGGGATATATCTGGAAGCAAATACAGCCGCTTCCGAAGGGACCTTGACTGGTGTGGTGCGCAGGTATAACCCTCTCCAGGGAGCTGAGACTTTGCAGTTCCAGATTTAGATCATCAGGTTCACAGACCCATCAAGCACATCTCATTCTGAGCACCTTTCAGGCTGTTTTTCTCCTCACGTGCTAACACGTAGTGCTTTAAGAATCAACTGTATATAATAGGAAGCAGCCACACACCTTTTGGGCCAAGCGAGTACAGATGAGGGCTTCCTCTTCTGCCAGAAAGCAATCCTGGGATTTCCGTATTCCTTGGCAAAAAAATTTCTTTTGAGATCTCTAAGATTTAATAGTTGTGGCACTCCATTTGCCATTGAAATTTTCACTGACTGGGAAAGATATGAACTACAAATGAAAAATATTATGTGGACCACTGGACCTATTAATTGTCCTACTGGTCTTGTTAATTTTTTTAAGTTAATCTCCTACACATAGCTAATTTTTATTTTTATGGCTTTTTTCAATGTGCTTGAATTCTGCCTTTTTTCCTTGCTTCACAGCAAGCCAAGTGATTTGAAAAATTAGATCTGTGCATTTGCAATTTCACAGCACTTCCTAAATGCTCTCCCTCAAATGGGCTGCCTTTCCAGCTCTTCATGCACAATAAGTTCAGCATTAGTAAAAATTGTAGCAGTGCTCCATTTCTTTTTAGGTGTTGGCTGTCTTTGAGTAGTTGTGAGTCTGATTCTGAGCAAACCTCCAGAAATGCTTAGGGATAGACCATGGTCATCAATTATGAATGAATGGCACAGGGACAAAACCTCTTCTAACCTGCAGTTAGTTCAGGAGGCATTAGGTCTGTGACACTGACATCATTTTGTCTGCTCTTTCTAAGACAAGAGACTGCAGGTCTTTGCTGTCTCAGTGCAAGACAGTATGTTTAACTTCCTGCTGACAGCAGGTTAATTAAAACCCTGGCTCTGTTTGGGTATCTCATATGGTTTTTCTGGCTGCACAGATTAAGTTTTCTTCCTTCTGTCAGGTTCAGAAAAGGTTTCTATTTACCATATTCTCCAATCCAGGTGCTGCCTGGAGAGCCCTGACCTAGTCCTGTTTCCACATGGGAGTTAGTGGTTACTGCACTGAGACCTGGTTGCTGGACTTGCATTCAATACTGAACTCCTTTGTGGGGCTGGAGTAAAACTTGTCTCGTGCTCAGCTGTGGAACCAGAGGTAGCTTCTGGTATCAAAATGGAGCAGCTTAAAACTCCTGATAACAAAGTATTATGTAGTTATTGTTTGCTTGCATCAGAAGTTGTGCAAGATTGGGGCTTCGAAACCACTAACAGGCATGTCTCCATATTTATCTTCTCTCCTCTGATGACTTCTTTGCTGAAAGTTTAATGAAACATTTAGAAGGTAGCTGTAAAGTTTTGTTTTGGCTGTAGCAGTAACCTCTGTTGTCTTCATACCTAATACTTCAGCAGTGTTGTGCCATAAACTGAATCCCATTTCTAAAGCTTTTTATAAGAAGTTCTTTGATGTGTCAGTCCTTAAGATATCATCTGTCATCTCGTGTAAAGTCATACTCAGAAGATTACGCGGAGTTGCTCTTCACTGGGCTCATCTCTGCTCTCAGCACAGCCATCCTGCTCTTTGATTGGGATTTGCTGGAGCTGTGATAGCCCTCTACTGACTACTCAGTACCTTGATGACTGACTAATAGGAGGCTGCTTGCATCAAAGGGTACATCTGACTCTTGAATGTTTAAAACAACTTTCAAAAAGCCCACTTGCATTCTGGTAGAAAGAATTATGCTTTGGAGACCTTGTGTTCCAGCTTAAGCACCACAGGCAATTATTTCTCCCTTGTAGAAACAATTGTGTCTTCCTTCTGAGCGTGGAACTCCTCGTGTGCACTGGGCCCATTCCCAACGAGCCCAGGTCTGCAGTAGGAGCCCTCATAGTTACTGATATTTCTAAAAACACTGTGTTAGGGTGGACCTAATGGGCATGTCTAATTTTGCTTTGCAAACTGGATCAGAATTAATTTTGTACTCTGAACAGGGTGGACAATTTCCCTTGTTCAGCTGGGCTGGATAAAGACAGATGTGAGCACATTTTTGTCAAAAGCTTGTTTCCCACTCCTGTGCCTTGCTGGTGGTGGTGTGCTTGCATAGGTCTGGTCCTTGATCCTGATCATAGGGTTAAAAATAGTAGAAATTCCTCATCTATTAAAAGCAGTTCCTCAAGCTCCTGCCCTGGTAAGTGTGGCAGAGGCTGGGCACAGGCTCCTTCTCGTGATGATCGCTGACTTTTTGGATGGTGAGTGGGTGCCTAACTGAAAAGTACAAATATGGATTTCATCCTTTTTCTTTGAAAAGGATGAGTAAATTACAACAGTAACCTCCCTGAAATCTGTTGTTAGGATGTCCTCCTCGTCTTGGTTTTTATTTTGTAAACCCTATTTTCTCCTGTTTCAGCTGCATTTTCCCTCTTTCCTTAAGCTCAACAATCTACTTTGTTGCAAATATTCAAAACTCTTAAATCATCCCTTGTGCTGGTGTTCCTTTTTCAGACCTCAGCTCCCAAGTTTGTCAGAATTTAGCTATGCCACCTTACCACCCTGTAAATAGCCATTGATTCGTCAGTGCTGCATAATGATGGGATAGCATTTCACAACACTATTACAAATTCATTAAGAAGCAACTGAAACGAGCTTAAAAGTGTAGGAAAAAAATTTAAGTGAGTACAGAGGGAGGAGCTGGACCTCTTATTGTACAGTTTAATTGGCAAAAAATGTTCTATGTTTAAGTGTGATGCTCTGTATATTTATCTATGGTAAACATTCCTGAAGTTTTTTTCCAACAGTCAAGGATCTTACTGTGCCTTTGGAGGGAAAAACACTCCCAAACCTCTCCTACTGACACACAGTGATTTCCTCCCTCTTAGTTCCCAGTGGAAGGTCAGCTGTCTAGTCTAAAGGTGATTTTTAGTGGATGTGATGATATATCTATTCCCCCCCTGCATGCATTGTTCAAAGGAACTCTATCCTGCAGCAGTTTGAGTGGAATATGGCCCTTATTTAAGGAAAGGGCAAGAGCCACCCTGATGATGCATGACAAAGCAGGAACAGCATGACAATATTTAATGGGCTGCAACTCCCAGGACCGGGCAGAGATTTAACCAATTATCTTTTAGTCTGCAGAGCTGGTATTATGCCTGCACTCTGCTCATTAGTGGCACAGAAGAGCTTGGGAATATTGTAGAATACCATCCCAGACCCTTCTGTGGGGGATTCTTGTGGACTGCTGTTTTCCCAAGGGGCTGTGTTAGTGAGCACTGCTCTGTCAGGAGCACGGGAAGGTCGGACACATCTGTCAGCTTTGTGCTGGCCAAAGCCCCCCAGTTAAGTCAGAGTGAAGACTAATGACTTGAGCTTCTCTTTGGGCTGGATTGGGTTGTGGCCTTAAGTGGAATTCCCTATAATGCTTCCTAGATTTCTGCTCTGCACAGGAATGTGTGGCTGAGAGCAGCTCTTCAAAGCTGCAGTGGTTTTTTGACCCCTTTAAATGTTTCATTGTCTGATGACTAAGCTTGCCGGGTTTCAGACACTGAGTCAGGGCTTTGTTCTCAGTGACAAGCTTCCCCTTCATAACGAGCTCTTATTATGCCTTTTGAGAGCAGAGCTATGTGAGGTGGGGAGAAGAGGATCAGCTGGAATAGCCATTATTCCTACAAAGGGCAGAGCAAGCAGAGTATTTCCCCAGAGTGCTGGCAGAGGATCCTGTTTGCTAATGGCAATTATACCTGTTCTGCGGTTTCAAGCTTTCCCTCCCCCCTCTGCTGTCCTGCAGCTGAAAAGTTGTGTGAAGAGGAGAGAGAAGCCATGGCTGTGCTTGGGGTGTTTATAGCAAATCACATCTGTCTGAGGAATGCTCAAAGAGGAAATGGCTCTTGAAGCACATCTAATAACTGTGAGGTGCCACATACGATCAATAGTTCTCAGCAAAATTGGCAAACCCACTAAAATCGGAATGAATTGGCTGCAATGTGTTCTGTGGAACAGCACACTGGGGGAAAATGACATGCATACTCAAATCCTGGAAGTGCAAGGGAGCCACGGTTCCCAATGAGGAAGCAGAGAGCTTTTCCCATAAAAGCACAGCCACATCAACTCCCATGTTTAATACAGCGCGTGGAATCTTCTGACATGTCGTTTATGGCAAATGGATAAGCCAAAAGTACATTCCTTGGTTATATGACTGCAATGAAAGATTAAAGCTGAATTTTCTGGGTCTTGCAAATGATACCAAAGTGCATCTTGAAACAGTTTAACAAGGACTGTGGTTTATTTAACCAAACGTTCTGCTCTGAACATCCCTTACTCCTCAGCTGAATGCAACAGCTTGTAATTCAGTATCCATCTGTCTTGGATGCAATTCTTACTTGAAGCTTTGTGCTTTTAGCTGAAATTACATATTAATAAGAAAGTGGGAGGGAAAGCTACCCAGCTAATGCGCCCAGTTAGTTAAGAATCAAGTCACATTTTATTTACTTAAACCCATCTGTGCTTGTTTTGCCAGTAATATATTTGGTCTGCGGCCTGTGGACTATGCAGAAAGTGAAAAGATGAAGTCTGTGCTAATGTTGCCAGTGAAGAATGAATCACTTTCCCTTAACCAACCCTCCGAGGTAAATGTCTGTGGGGATTTTTGTTGTTGTTGTTGTTGTTTTGCTTTTTCAAAAAACCCCTGTAAGTTTAACCTGTAAATATTGAAGACTTGGACATAATTACAGTACATCACCTGCTTTACAGAGAGATTTTAAAACTGGGTGACTAACCTGGACAGTATTTCTAGAATGTATGTGGAACGCATACAAACCATGAAATTCTGTGTTACAGCTTTATCTGGGAAAACAAAGGATATTTCTTGTAATGTGGATTTATTACAGGAGAATGAACGCTGTGTTACTCCTCAAGTATTGTTGCTTGAACTTGGCTGTTGATGTTTTTTTTCTTCATATTTAAATTTGTTCTACTTACCAAACTGTCTGAAAGCAGCAGCAGTTTTTGCTCCAGGTGCTTTCTGTGTGCATTTAAAAGGCTGCTTCAGTATAATCCTTTGTCCAACAGTGAAGATATCAGCAGTTGAAAACAGCTTTTGGAGCTTTTGTGGGGTTTGGTTTTTTCCCCCCTCTTTTTGTCAAAGACTTCTCAGGACTTTTAACCAAAATCAGGCTATTCAGACCTAACAAGTTCCAGCATTATGAAATGCTTTGGGCTTCCTGATGACTGAGGATTAAACTGACCTGGCTGATGGAAGCAGTCCTAGTTTACTGCAGGATATACAGCTTGGTCTGATCCCTCCTCACTGAGGCTATAAGGTCCCCATTGGCCAAAAGTAAACTGTTGCAGTTGAATGAGCAAGGATTTGGCTGTTCCTTCCCCAGGTAGCAAAGGTAAGATGCAGCTCTTCTGTTGCAAACAAACCCCTTGGTGTTTGCATTCGCTGTGGGATGAGTGTGCGCCCATGGATGGCTCCGAGCTCACATGGATGATTTGATCTGAGGCCTGGGGCTGTAGGGTAACAGCATCTCAGAGGTGTGTCTGTGCCATGGAATCTGGGAGTATTTATAAAAATCCAGGAGCTGAAGTGTCACATCCTTGTCAGCATAAAACTTGAGCAAGCAGTGCCTCTTATTTGCATTAGTAGTATCCACATAAAAAACCCACTTAAGCATTCATTGCTTACAGGGCAAAGTATTAGGGACTTTCACTAGAAGTAAATGCAGATGTTAATTATATAGATTACTCAACAGTGTATCTGTTGGTAATACCCTGTTCACTAGGCTTGCCATGAATTGTGTTTCAAAATGCCTATTCTTTCTAAATAAAGCTGTCTAGTAAGTTAGTTGCTTTATGTTCCCAAACATTTTCTGTTTCCTGCAGGCACTAAGCCCCAGCCAGCCTAGAAATGGCCCACTTGGTTTACTGGGGAGCAGTCTTAGTGCAGAGCAGCAGAAGTTGCTGAACAAATTAGCAGCAGTTCTGAAGGCTCGAAGATGTACTGAATTTAACAGTGAAGGTATGTAAATGTCTCTGTCCAAATATAAGTAACTACAGTTCTGCACCTTATCCTTCAATAACCTACAATGGGGTTTTTTATTGTTCCTGGTAAGAGCAGCTTCTGAAATCCCTGGATTGTAGCTGTGGTACAACGATGCATGTAAACACAAATAAAGCCTGTCTGGTTACCGAGGCAGGAGGCTTCGAGGGGAGCCACAGTTTGGCAGCATGTTGTCATTTAAAATCCCTAAGTCTCCTCAGAGACCTCTTCTCTTTACACTTCTTTTACCAGCTTTAAGGTCTCTGCCCATATGAGACATCCTGTAAAGTTTGTGCCTTCCAGGAGCGAGTCTTGGGCAGATGGTGCCTTTAGAAAGAGCGTGTCATTGCCCAAGAGTTGGCACGTGTCTTCTGACATTGCTTCAAGTTTTGTGCCTCATTAAGATTGATGGATCCAAATTATGGGTCTTGGTTTTTTTTTTTTTCTTCCCCTATGAGGAGGGGAACATTGCCTTAAACCCTCCTATTAGATTTTCTTTGGAGTGCTGCTTGTGAACAAAATGCTAAGGCAATTTTCCCTTACCATCTTCCACATTCAGATTACTACTCCAAAATTTTGAGTTGAGTTCTGTTAGCTTTGCATTAAAGCAGTAAGATCCCATGGTAAGATTCCTGTCAGAGTTAAATATAACTTTAAAAGGATTGAGAAAAAAATACTGTCCTATAAACCTCATCTGAAGGTTTAAGTGTTAGCTTGGAACTATAAAACCATGACTTCCCTTTTTCACAGCCAGTATAAGTTGAAACCCACAAAATTTCTAATAGCTCTTCTACTAACTCTTATCATAGTCTCAAAAATCACATACGTGTGCTGGAAAGAGTGGTTGATAAATTATTATAGTCTGTTTATTCTTTAAATGGTGATTGATTGCTTTTCAGCCAGGCATGGTTCTGATTTTTATGTGCTCTTAGTTCTACTGATGTAATTTTTCTCCTAGTAACTCATCTTGTTATCCCTGATGTTCCAATGCCAAGTACTGTCAAATGCATGATGGCTGTTCTGACTGGATGTTGGGTCCTCAAGTTTGAATGTAAGTATTAAATAGGTGGGATTATTTGGGGGTTTTAACCAGAAATTTTAGATGGGATTCCAGAAAAAAAATTTTCTCAACAACTGCTCTAATGTCAGTACTATCTTAACATAAAGTGTGAGGGTTGTGGTTTGGGTTTTTTTATTTTAAATCTCCTGAATGACAAGAAATTTAATTAGTATAACTACTGCTTTCTTGTTAAATGAGTGCATTTTGTCATTAGATGTGTTGGGTAGGTCATGGCCTGACTATCAGTGGGGAGGGAATTTCTTCACTGCTGTATTAAAACGGATTTGAAGATTATGGAAAATATCCTGGGAGAGAGGGGAGGATTTTATTGAATTCTAGGATTTCTTGTCAGCAGTTGCCATTAGATTTGGTAGGAAACTTTAGCTTGCTTGGGGTACAGCTCGAGGGCTGTTGGAATAAAGCTTATATTTACATATAAGCTGAGACTGTTGAAAGTTTTAACTTCTAACCCAAGTTGCAGGTCGTTCTGATGTCATCTTTCATGCAATCTGTAGCTAGTTTTTATACAGTGCGTGCTTTTTTATACAGCTGTTCTGTGGACTTAGGCCCCAATTGTGCTTTTTATTCATTGTCTCTGATGTATTTCTTAGTATCTGCTCTCACAGTAGTTGCAAAAGTCATCTTCTTCCCCTTGACCTTTATGGCTAAGTCCCTTTAGCTAATAAGTACACTACAAATGAGTTAATTATCCATGGAAAACTCACAGGCAAATTTCATTCCAGTTTTCTACTGTGTGACTAAACATCAGAATATGAGGACTCCTTAATGGTCTAAATTTTCCAGCCACTAATGTTTATGAAGGCACTGTTCAAAGCCCCAGAAGCTGCATACTAGTTTTTGAACTAAAGCACATCATCAGCTTGAACACTGGACTCAGAGTGTTCATTTGGCTTCCAGATACTTTGTTCCATGCTTTTTTTTTTTTTTTAAAAGGATCTGTTGAATTAGTGTCCCTTTAAATGCTTTCTGCATCTCCTATGGTGGCTTTTGTGGCCTTACAGGCATTTGCAGAAGGGAAACACCGTGTTGCCTCTGTGTTCTTACAACTAGGAGTAGCTTCTCGTTGAATGTGTAACAGAGAAACACTGTTTATGTTCCAGCAAGCAGATGGATTTCATAACCTCCAGACATTTTGTTGTTAAGCTGAAGGGAGGTGGTTTCCTCTTTGGATGTAGGGATGCAGCAGGAAGCTTGGAAAGCCTAGAAGTGGTGTTTGGGTTGTGTGATTGGAAAGGGTGTGTTCAGGTGCTCTGGAACAATAAATAACCTGTTTAACTAAGACTGAATAACCTGTTTCTGTGGTGAGTCACTTTGCAGGTTCTTGGCTTCACTCAGTTCAGAAGCCCTGCACACATTCTATCATATATGCTAGAGTGGCTTTCCTTTATTTCATTTTATTGGCTTGCTAGTCAGATGCTTAGAAAAATCGAGTGGTAGAGGAAGATTTAATTAGTGAGACCTCACTTCAAGTCTTTGCGGAAGAACTTTTACACTTAAAAGTGATTTGAAAAGAAAAAAAAATAAGTGAAATAGTCTGAGGGTTATTCAGGGAATATTTTTATGTTTTCTGTTCGCAGCTGAGTTTTATTTGATGTTGTTAGTACTGATTAGTACAATCCTGACTGCTAATGCTCCCAGCTTAGTAAGCAACATACTACTTAAAAGCGAGTGATTCTCCTCCCTAGTGGGGAATGTTAGTAATAACTCATGGGGTCTGATGCAGCTAAGTGCCTATAATTAACAGCACCACTCCATCTGTTCCCACCAGTCTGTTATCAGTCTTCTTCAGAGTCATTACAAGTTAAAGATTGTTATAACAAATAATGGGACTCCTGCTGATGGAACATTTGTCTAGGAAAAAGAGGTCTTTGCCTTTCTCTTCCATGATTTCTCTCCTAATTTATTGTGGCTTTTTTGACTTCTCTTTGGATAACTTTCCTTAAATGTGATGCAAATAAACTTCCAAAAGTATGTGCATATTCTGGTTATGTAAGAAATTCAAGAAGCTGTTATGGTTCACTGTTCTAAAGTGAACTCATGTTGAAAAACTTCACTAAAATATTTGAAAAAACAAAGCTCAGTGAGGCACTTAATGAAGTGCTGACTATGCATAAATGAGTATTTGAAATTTTTTTTAGCACAAGGTAAGCTGCACTTGACTTTTATTTCTAAAGTTATATTTATAGCCTAAACATTATACCACTTTCTACAAAAAAAATCACAAAAGAGTATTGCAAAAACAGTATTTCATTTGAGAGTCTCTTCTGTTAACTCTTCTGTTAGAGGAGGCTAAACTCTGTTTCTCTAATAAAAAGCAACATCCTTCTCTTGAATGATTCTCTGGTGCTTCTGTTTACACGTGTCCCTACCCACAGACACAGCATCCATTTCTATTGGCAGAGAGGTAATGTGGAATTTTCCAGCAGAGTTTGCGCCAAGTGTAAGGCCTCTAACTATTAAAGAGCCAGGATTTAAGTACATATCTTCAGTTTTGGGATTCCCTTTTGCCTTCAGGTGGAAGATTAGGATCAAAGGATGTCACCACTGAGCAGTATTAGATCTTCACAGAAGAAGAATTTCCCCTTACCAGTTGCAGTTCCATCTTTTCCATATCTAATACGCTGTCAGCAGTATATCCACTTCCAAGCAGCACAGAATTCAATTGAGACAGTGTTGTCACTGTGCTCCTTGCCCTTGGCCATATCTTTCACTGGTTTCATTATTTTATTGCCTTCATTATTTCTGGGATGGTAATAGGGCACGAAGTGGCATATCATTATCTTTCTGCAAGTAGGCTGAGACAAAGATTCAAGTATCACTGTATTTCCTCTGTGCTTTATGGAGAACGCAGAAGAGTGTAATTAAAACCAGCAGAAGTCTTTAATAGCTTTTCAGCTTGTTTTTTCCTTAAACTTATTGTCATCTGTTAAAGCAGGGAATGAAAAATGATCTCAGTAACGATATGCATTGAAACAAGCTTGTGTCAGTCTTTGCAGCCAAGTGTCTGGCAGAATTCTAAGCATCTGATTGCTCATTCCTTCCTCTGCTTTGCTTACCTGGAGCAGCAGCAATGATTCAGCTCTGATCATTATAAGAATGCAAAAAACCCTGCTTTTCCTGTAAGGACTTGAACAACAGGGAGTTGACTGGAAGGGCTGAGGGACTGCATGACTGACATTTCAAGGTGAAAACATCTTTCTGAATTTCTTGGAGCAATATGCCCATCCTTTTTTAGGCTCTTAGACCAGAGAAGTGCAAAGCTGTCTGAGCTGACTCCTTCTCAGGCCTGACTGTCTCCCTTCCATGCATAAACATCTTTTAGATACCAGGCTGATCCTCAGCAAAGCCCTCCCTCCTTAAAACAGCTCAAAACTTCTGATCACTGGGGTTTCATGCTCGTTCATTTAAAAGCATGTGATGAGTTCCAGAGGATGAGCACTCCCCGTGGAATTTACCCTGACCTTAGGAATGGCTACCTCCAGTCACTTTGATCAGTCTGGAAGACAGCTGTGGCAAACAGTGTTTTTTCCAAAGAAGGTGGGACACTTGGGGCTTCAAGTGAGAGAATGATTTTCATATCACATGCTCCTAGCTTCTGGGAATTGATGTTTCAGGACTCCCTAAGCATCTGCTCCATCAGGTTTAATAAATATCATCTGGATTAACTTGTTAACTACTACTCTTAAGCAGATTCACTTGAGTCTCTGCAGCATCTTGTCATTTCCATGTGATGAGAAAACAGACTGCTCTTGTTTCTTGTTCTGTACCTCCATGAAAATCTGTGAGTCTAAAGTTACTTCATAGCCATAGAAGAGACAATATAAACATTCTTTTCTGTGCTGTAGCAGAGGCCAGTAATGCTGTTTATGAAAGCAAATTGAAGCTAGCCATGCCAAATTCCCCTAAGGCTCTCTCTCAGTCCAGAATTCTTCCTTTTCTAGGAAAAAAAACCCACCAAGTTTTACTCAATCTGCATGTAGGTTTTAAAACCCAGTGCAGACTGAGCTAAGGATGTTCCAGTTGCAGTCTCTACTAGATCTTGGATGTGTAGTATTTTATCTGCTTTGTTGCTGTCATGTATTTCTAAATTACTTCTAGCCTTTCTAAGAGATTTTTGGGACTAACCTCTGCTCTTTGCTTTATTAATGCAAATCCAGCAAAACTCCACTAAGGCTAATTGAGTTACTGAGAGCTACCCCTGGGTATCTGTGGGTTATTAGAACTTGTTCTTGGCAACCAGGTTTTTTTGTACTTCATTCTCTTTAAATTGTTTTTGCTGATGCAGTTAGTTTCATTATAAACCAATAAGACTTACATGAATACGGATTACAGGGCTCTGATCTTAAATTTTGCAAATAATGATTTCTTTTATTTCTAGTACCAGTGGCTATAGTTGTATCAAAGGTCAATTAATGATACCATTTGAGTGGACACCCTGTTAACCTGCTTGCTCCTTAGATACTCAGAGGTGAGAAGGTAGGGGCAGCTGCTCAGTGAGGTAATAAGGATCAGTGTAAGCAGTGATGCTTTACTGATCTTCCTAATGAGGGGGGAGAAAATGAGCAGTGCTCTCCTTGCCAGGTGTGGTGGCATCAAGCTGAACACGGATGGATTGAGCTACGGCATTTTCCTGCAGTGCTTTTTAGGGGCTTTAATGAAGGCGTGGGCTTTGCTAGGATTTGGTGTTTACCTCTAAAAATTGCAAGTGTGAAATCAGCTGTTTAAGAGGCTTTTAAACTTGTGATGCTCTGTATTTCTGGGGAAGAACTCTGCATGACCCCTCTGCACATGTGATCTTGCCCCAGACCGGCCTTCTGTCAGGCAAGCTTTATCCATGAGTGCTTGCACACTGGAGCTGGGCACTGCACACAGCCCTGCTCCCTGTCTGAAATGCCACTTGCCTGGATACAAGTCTTGCCCTTTTGCGGGTGATTGCCCCAACTACCGATTAAACTACAGGGCCATTAACACGTAATTGCAATAATCACCCTCTTTTCTTTAGGGAAGAGAACATGGTAAATTAATAAACTTGATCAACCTCAAACTTAGGAAGTCCACAGCTCTTGCTGCCAGTAGTATCAAGGAATAAATCAGAATTGGCTGAGACCCTGGGCAAGCCGAATGGTCTTATTTTATTTTGTAACAGAACAGACTAGCTTTTTAGTCAGGCTTGCCAGTAAAGAATGCACAGACTGTAAATCTGTGGAGGAAAACAACGGAACTGTGGTCTCTGCTCCCTCCTAAAATTACAGGTGTCTTCTCAAACGTAAGTTTGTGTTCCCCTTCATTTTCAGAGGCCTTTTTTAAGGCTGCCCTTGTACTTCCAAAGTTTAGTCCTGTTCTGAAAACTTTTTTGTGTAACTGCTTAAATGTCCATCTCAATTTCAGAAGGGAGGTGGCATGGTATTGGTGGTGTCCTGGCCACTTTTTAATTAGGATGGTAGCAATTCTTTTTTTTTTCAGTCCATTCGTTTGACCAGTGTCTTGGTATCAGGTTCTCGCTGTTGGCTTCTCAATACAGTGCTGAAGAAATGAGAGGATAATCTCTGGAGTTTTGGGAATCACTTTAACATGGCTCCTGTTTGAAGTCAAAGGGCACTGTACTTTGTGTGTAAGGTCAAAAGAGCTTCTGGAAATGTCCCTATAAAGGTATCAGAATGATATAGCTGTGAGTAAAGCGTGGAATTTTATTTCCTTTTATATGTCCCTTTAATCAGGATGATACTCAGTCAGGTGAAGAGACTATTAAAAGGGAACTGTCATGTTATCCAGCCACTTATACACGTTAGCAGCTTTAAAATTAATAATGCCTGTTCCAAGACCTGGGCTGTATTGAATGGACTCAGCTTAGCACTCGGTTTTCACAGAAAATAAAATCCCTAACTGTAAAGAAAAATAAATGTTGGAATGGCCTGCAGCATGCTCTAATCTCCTGTTTGTATCCCTACTCCTAAGTGTGAAATTGAGGTGTTATTGTTGTTAGCACAAGATCACCTTGTGGCGGCTCTGCCATCTCTTGGAAGAATGATAAAACTGATACATTCCTGGTGATTCCAGATGACACCATAACACAACCAAAGCTGGTTGTGCCCTCTTTGAGAACCTCACTTGGGCTGTTGCATCCAGTTGGAGTCACTGCATCCGAAAATGGTAATGCAGAATCAGTGATTTAGAAGCAATGACTTGACAAATTTTGTGTGGAAAGGGGGGAAAAGAACAGGAAAATAAGAACCTTTTGTTTAGACAAATGCATAATGAATTAGGTAGAAACACAACTTGAGCCCTATGTTATTTTATCTTAAATAAGAGAACAGGGGCATATTTCCCTTTTATTTCTTTTTGTCTTATGATATATAACTCCTTTAATTATTTAATACAAAATCTGTGGTATGTAGGAGTCCCTGAAGGGAAATGAGCCACTTGGGAAGAAATCAGTCTGAACAGCATTTTCAGTTAAAGGACATATGCTGGTCTCTATCACTGAAATCATTTTCCTTTCCTTCTTCTAGTTAGGAATCCTTCCTCCATGGGTAGATATTCCTTCACTGGTGTAAACACCTTCCTCAAACACTGGTTGCTACTGCATCAGTTGTTCTGAGCATACAGGTAGATGTGGTTCTGATGCCACAACGTGGCATTTGCCTCATTTCCTTGTGCCCCAAAGGCCCTCCTTTCCTGTTGCCATGTTCGTGTTGGCTCTTTCCAAGGGATTTTCTTGGTTCAGATGGGCTGTGCTGTTGATGGTAGGATTGCCATGAAAGGTGTTGAAGCCTGAAACACCAGCTCTTCTGAGCTTGAGGATTCCATTGACTTTCTTTTTTTCTCACCTGTGTGTAGGCAGTGTTAGAGGAGATGGCTTGAAATGCCTCTGATCACAACAGTTCCGAAAGGCAACTGTTCTCACCCATCAAATGTGACAAGATCCATGTGTCAGAGCAAGTTCTACGTCTTGCATGAAAAATATGTTCAGTAATTGAAAATTTCCATCAGCAAAAAAAACATCTGGAGCCTGTTGCTCCACAAAGGGGTGGGTGTGTATGCCTAGCAGCGTTGCCCTTAACATTTATGGTAAAGGAAAACACCTGGGCACTGAAAACTTACGTTCGTGGCTTTTTATCCTATCTGGAATACACAGCTTTTGTGCCACAGATCTGTTAAGACACAGATCTGACCTGTTTCTAGCTGGTAAAAGCAAGTTAAAATTGATGAGAATGCTGATCATGCAGACACTGGCTAGGAATGGGCTGTTGACATGTTCCCAGTTTTTTAGGGGAATACACGCCAAGCCTGGTGGTTCTCGTAGACACAATGAAAATAGGACACAGGTAGATGAGTCTTTCTTGCTCTCTTGGAGGATTGTCTTTATGTGTGACAAGGAACTTTGAGGATTCAGGTTCCTTGGAGGGCCTGGCAGTGTGAAGTGGACTGACGTGTGTGTGCAAAACAGATACCACTGGTTTTGCATTCTCCAACACAGGCATTCCCCTAACACTAGTCTCTTCCCTGACAATTTAGTTTTTTTCAGGCAAGTAGCAGTACAAAAAGACATTGCAGTCTTTTGTATTCATTCAGTCTTTTATTACTTTTGTATCACATTTGCTTCATTTACTGATGCTGGTACTGGATGCTCAATTTGTGATGTACTTATTGTATAAAAACCTCATCTCTGTAGTGAAAGTCCTTGAAACCGAGCTTTTGATGGCAGATTGAAATAAAACGTTCTTAATGAATGGACAGTTCTGTTCTTAAGACTAGATGAGACTGTTTTTCCTTTATTGTGACTGGCACCCATTAATATCTGTATTTTCTTGGAAGAAAAGAATAACAGTGTAAGTTAGAGGCACATTGACAGAGGAAGTCTCGTTGAATTGTGGTGATTTAAAATAAATAAATAAAATGTGAAATAGCTTTTAGATTTATTTTTGAGCTACGAGTACTTGAAATTAAGTTATCAGTATTCATTGCTGTTATCAATAATGAATATGGAAGTTGCTTTTCCAGAAAATACATGACTAGGTTTGCCCTTCTAGTTCATGGTAATTTTCCTTGAAGGAATGAACAAGTGCAAATAATCAGTCTGATACTTGTACATGGAGGGAGGTATTTGCTGTAGGATTCAGCCAGTTGTGATTTTCTGCAGGGGTTTATATTTTTGGATGCAAGTACATTGGAGGACTTCTGCTGAAATGTGATTCCCATTGCATTTTGTGAGTTGCAGCAAATTACTCAGAGTTTTCTTTCAATATCTCTCTGGATTAGATTACTCCTGTCTACTGGCCTCTTACTGCCATGGCATCCAAGTACCTTTGTCAGTGAGACTTCTCTCGTAGCCTTGGGCTTTCTTCCTTTTTAGGATCAACCCCCCACACTTCACTTCTGATTTTGTTCAGTTTATATTTTTCAGGTACCATGGGTTTCATATTTGCCCAGTGCAGATAAGTTGCCTGAATTAGAAATGCTGTGCAAGGAGTGAGGTGCTATAAAAGTTACAGCCTCGTCCACACTGTAAATCCTCACGGAACCGTTTCCAAAATCAGCTTTGCAAACTTTTTCTTGGGTAATTTTTATTAACGAGTGCAATGTACATTCAGGCAAAATGTTCCACCCTTGAGTGGGTGGCCACTGCAATTCCTGCCTCTGGAGTGAGGTCAGGTAGTGCGTTTAAGGGACGTTAGAGATACATTAACATCAGCCCATTATTGGAAAAAATAACTGGCCTTAAAACAAGGTAAAAACATGTTGACTCTGAAAGACAATCTCATTATGCAGCAGTGGTAACAGGAATGAATGCTACTGTTAAACCCCAGCATAAATCTCTGGTTCGTGCTGATCTCGGAGACCTTGAAATCCCATCTGATTTGTTATTTGAGGCAGCTTTGTGCTGGCTTTGTAATTGGTCTTTATCAGACAATTGCTTCCATTCCATAACTGCTTTGTGGGTTCTACACGCTGGCTTCAAGCTTCCAAATGATCAGCAATTTGACATTTGACATTAAGTGGTTGACCTTTAGTGGGTAAGAGGAAGAGCTAATAATTCCTAGTGTTTATAGCACTGATTTTAGTGTGATATTACTTCTTTCCGTCTCACTTGCATCTTCAGCCGCTGCTGTAAATTTTTTCGAGTTTAAAAGCAAATTGCTAAAGCACACAGGCTTTGATGCTTGTGTGGATGGAATGTGATGCATTGTGGGTGATTATTTTATGTTAGCACAACCACTTAGTCCCTAAAATGACGTGCAAGCCTGTCTTAAAACCTGAGCTCTCTAATTTTTGCCTTCTTTATTGTTTCTTTTTCCTCCTAGGGGTCCGAGCCTGTCTGCAAACCTCAGCTCGAGAACAAGAAGAAAAGTATGAAATCCAAGGTGGCCCCCAAAGAGGGCGGCTCAACAGAGAGCAGCTGGTGGGTTTTATTGCTCCAGCCAGCCCATATTAATGACCTTTGGTTCGTGCAGTTCTGCCCTTTGCCACATGCGAAAGTGCAGAAGATGTAAAATTTTAATGTGGTCTTGTACAGGAATTTGATTAAGTGCAAGGTGATCCAAGGAACTGTGAACACCCATAAAGCTGTCAGTTTTCTGTGTTGGGGGGATGTTGCTGTAACCTTGTCAGGGGAACACTGTATTACACTCGTGGAAGAAGCTGATGGGACAGGGAGTGATGCTGCTTTGGCCTTCTCTGCTCAGCTTTAGAACCTAGTTCTGGAATTTGAAAGAAAAATGGTTTTATTACTATTTGTTTCCATTTAGGGCCACTTTTATATTTAACTGGGTTCATTTCTGGTTACTTGCTGGATTACACAGGAGAATTCATTAACTGCATTGTAGCAGTAGCTGTAAATATTCCTAACTCAGAGTTCAAACCCTGTTGTGCTGGAAAGTAAACAGAAGCAAGAATTTACCACGTAAGCAAGCTTTTCTTGATTGCATTCTTACAGTGAGAACCTTGCATGTTAAGTTGCTGCTCTAGTTTCCAGTGTTGGTTATTTTAAATCGTTGGGGTTTTTTTTAATGCACTGATTTTTTCCTTTCCACTTTTTTCCTCTCTGCTCAGTCGCAAAGTCCTGTATTTATACTTCTTTTTTTTTTTTTTTTTTTTTTTTTTTTTTTTTTTTTTGGTCCCCCACCCCACCTCCACTTAGCTTCCTAAGTTGTTTGATGGATGCTACTTCTATTTTCTGGGCTCTTTCAAACGTCACCAGAAGAGTGATCTGGCGGAGCTGGTCAGAGCAGCAGGAGGACAGATCCTGGTGAGGCAGCCGAAGCCGGACAGCGACGTGACGCAGACGATCAACACGGTGTCGTACCACGCGGAGCCCTCCTCCGACCAGAGGTTCTGCACTCAGTACGTCGTCTACGACGGGGCCTCCAAATTCAGGCCGGAGAAAACCCGGCAGGGCAAGGTGTGGATGGCCCCCTCCAGCTGGCTCATAGACTGTGTGATGTCATTTCAGCTCCTGCCCGTCGAATGAGTATCAGCGCCTGGGGAGTGAGGCTTTATAAAATGCGGGCAGTCTTGAGCTGGTAAACTGGTCTGAAGCTGTGACTTGTGTTTTGGATTCAGGAGAGCTTTGGGCGTGTTTTGGATTCAGGAGAGCTTTGGGCGTTTCAGTGAGTTACTAGGGTTGCTGATAGGCTGGAATAAGTGAACGTACAGTGGAGGAGAGAATTGAAAAATGTGCCTTGCCTTATTTAGTGTGCTTTATATTTGCATTGAACTTAATAAACGCTTAATGAGTAATCACTGACATTTTGTAACTAAGATTTTGCAAAATGAAACCTTTTGCTTTCTTGATTTGTAGGCGATAGACCCCATTTGTGTTGTGTTTCATATCCATTGACAGGGATCTACTGTATGTGCCAAGATTTCCCAGGCCAGAATTTGTATTTTTTTAAAAGAGAGGACTCTATGCATTTGAACCTGCGTAGACATCTCGTGTCAGGTGACACGTGATGTTTATTACAACTTCTTACAACTGAATTTTGCTGGAAATTCTTGGCGTGGGATAAGTCTCGTAGAAATCAGGGTTGAACTAATGGCTTGAATTCATCTGGAAGCAGACAATTTTTGAGAACACTATATTTAAAAATCTTGATTTAGAATTTCCTTATTTTGTAGAAAGATAAATGCTTTTCTCACTTCTGTCCTCATTCATACTTGTAAATGTGTAACTTGAATTTCATTCTGTTTTCCTAAGGTTTTGAAGCATTGGGTTCCTTATTAAATTATTATAATAAATATTTCTGTAAGTATGGATGGTTATTATCATGGTTACTTTGAGAAAAAAACTTTAATGATTGCAAAAGAATCATGTCTCACTTGGCACAATTGTACCTAAGCAGCTGGCTATGCTGGAGCAATATTTGATTCTTTCTTATTTGTTACAATATTTCATGTAATTGGTCATAAGTTATTGTCAGAATCTTCAGCCCTCACTCTGTGCTCTCACCTAATGTCTTGTATCTTTTGTGAATTCATAATTGAAAAATGGTGTCTTGTAATAATATGATAGTCGTGGGATAAACCAGAGTTTTTTGTGTTTGCTTTCGTTTTGCTCCTGATAATGAAACTTTTTGTGTGCAGTAAGTTTGGAGTGTCTTATTGCATGAGCTTGGCTGCAGAATAAGTACATGTCCCATACATATCTCAACAGGTAAAGGAAAACACTTTTCTGTGAGCTTGGCCAGCTGTGAAGATCACTTATCACACTGAAGAGCTGCTTTTGCAGATGAAGAGAGCTGTGTTCTGTAACCATTGTCCCTGGAGAGCCTGTGCCAGTTCTCAGTATGCTCTGTACAGCTCCTAGTACTCGACAGGTACAGTTTTCACCTTGAGTAGCTGGAGTATCTTGATCTATCCCTTATGCCAGACCGAGCCATTGCTCTTCACTGGATGCAGGGCTCATTAACAAGTGGAGCAGCCCATGGGATAAGTGTGCTGTGGGTTTTTGAGCAGATAAACACTGGCAGCAAATGAGGGGCCGAGTCAATACGATGTGAGTTCAGTCGTTTGTTTTAACAATTGTAGCACATTTTAACTTGGCATTTCATAGCACATCAATATACCTAATGCAGTGTTCTTTGCAAAAGTAGCAGCGAATCTCTGCGAAATTCTGAAGAATGGAGCTTTTCTGCTCTGTACCAGGAAGAAATTTGGCCCATCAGTAATCCTGTTCTCTGTCCTAAAGGAGAGGCAGCACATTTACAGATTTTAAGAGCTATTTTTCCTTGGCAGATGAAAAGAAACTCTGTTAAAAAAGTGCCATTAATGTTTTTTTTTTTTAAGCCCCGCTCTGAACCTCTTCAATGTTCCTTTGAATCAAGTTGTGTTATCAAGCAGAGTTTCTATCAAATCACATTAAGAATCCCTCCATGTCATACTGAGGGGAGATCCTTACCCAAGATTAACTCTGGCCCACCTCCTTCAGGTCTCTGCAGGGATTCAGAGTGTGATCAGTTTATGCAGATACAGACTTGAAGAGCCTCACAGTAGGTTTGATGCCAGAGTTAACAGCAGGTGCCAGTCATCACTGAAGCAATGTGTAAGTACACAAAAGTAAGAGGTCAGTGACACAGACCCTGCTTAATTTGCTCCTGCTAATTGTTGGAAGCAGAGGGATAGCACACTGTCTAAAAAGGGCTTACAGTAAGGATACATCAAGCCCCTTAATCCACTGAACAGATTTTGGCTCCTGAAAGCAAGGTTATAAAATCATGAGGCGTGTGGATCGTTTCTTTTCTGTCTCTTCTAGCCCAAAAGCAAGGGTGCATTAAAGGAAGGTAGTTGGAGGCAAGCTCAAAATAACGAGGTATTTCAGGCAGTGTGAGAGACTTGAGGCACTGATGGCCACAGTAGCCTGGCATAGTCTGAGGCAGGGAGTGGATGAGTTCATCAAAGACAATCTGTTAAAGGTTAATAAAGAACCTTAGCTGTAACATGAATTTATACTAGCATTCTCCTGCTAGCTTGCATGTACTTAATGTGCACCGATGATTGGGGCATCTCATGGAAACATAGAATGGTTTGGGTTGGAAGGGACCTTAAAGATCATCCAGTGATCATTACCTCATGTGAAGAGATAGTAAGTACAGGACTTGCATTCTGGATTATGGGTATTTTTATTGATCAGAAATACTGTGAATCACTGAATGGTTTGGGCTGGAGGGGACCCCAAAGTCCAGCTTGTTCCAAGCCCTGTGGACAGGCACACCTTCCCTTAGACCAGGTTGCTCCAAGCCAAGGACCAACCTGGCCTTGAACACTTTCAGGGATGGGGCAGCCACAGCTTCTCTGGGCAACCTGTGCCAGGGCCTCACTGCCCTCACAGGAGAGAATTCCTTCCTCAGCCTGATGATTTTCAGGCATCTTCCCTTGAAAATTACCTGTTTGTCATAATGACCTAGTTCATCTGGGACACTCGATAACACCTTAAATAGCAATGCCTGGGGCTCAGTGACATCAGTTTAACAACTCTAATAGTTAATAGAAGATAATATTTTTAAGCTTTTTGAGTGATGTTGCAATATTTCTGCAAGTGTTTTAGGGGAACAGCAGGCAACCAAGTAGTATAAAACAGTAGCTGGTTTTGCTCTCAAATCAGAATTAGCAAGCCTGGGAGGTGCTGTGGCTCTGTTGTCTTGCAG